CCGACATAAAATCAAACACCATCTGCGGTTTACAAGTTTTACAAAAAGGTTTACAAGTTTGTAGGATAGCAAGTTTGTTGTTAATAAGAAGGAGAAAATGTTTAAGAAATCGTTCTTCAAATGTTGGGCGAGTTTTGTTTCGGAATAATTTACCAATATTCTAAATCTGTTTATCCTGTTCTTTTGCCTATTCCTTAGTCAAATTTTGCTTCTTATTTGTTGCTGAAAGAAAAAACATCCTACTCTACCAATGATTCTCATAAAACTAAATGAAAACTTAATAAATAGTAGCCTGAAAATATCCACACCGCTTTTTTTAGTATGGATGGTGTTTTTAGTAGAAATGTAAACAATAACAATCTCAAACTGTATGCCTGCTCTAGTTCCGGTTAGAAAGTTTGCAGCTGCTTACTACATGTTATTCTGCGAGGCGATATTTTCAAACGGATCATTTTGTTTTGAATAATAAGAAATAAATTAGATGATTTCTGAGCTCAAATCTACCGTATTTCATAGGATGTTAATGTTATTAGGTAATTCTGGTGAGTTTGAAGTAAAAATTTTTTTCAGTTATTTAGAGATATATTGTTAAAAAAGGTGACATGGTTGCTAGATTTTGAATAACTCGCTTTTTTGGCAGTCTGGATTTTGCCTCTTTCCTTAAGTTTATTACTATTTGTTCGTGTTGCAAGCTGTGCAACACCTTACGTCAGTGTTAGCATATTGTTCGAGGAGCAAGATAAAGTTTAGTAATAAGTATTTAAGTACCACGTTTGCAAGAATCTTAAGTCCCGCGGTGGACTGATCGATAAGACACGGTTCCCAACAGATCACCGAAGTCAAGCATCACTGGCTGCGGTCAGTGTGCGGGTGGGTGACCACTTGGATCAGTCTGCGTAGGGACCGAGGGTGTGCGGTATTGGTCCTCGTTAAACTGTGCTACCGTAAAGTGCTCGACTTCGCGCGCAGGTCGTCGGGCTACCGAAGCGGGGGTGCCATCCCCTCCGCAGAGGATCAAAATTGCGATAGCATGTCTTCGGATCATCCTCTGGGATGTTTCCCAGACAGTCGCCAAAAGCCCATTGTGCAGCTCTAGTGCGACGTAAATTAACAACAGCAAGAATCTTAAAACACAATGATCACGTTGTGAGATGGCTTTAAAATACACTGGAAACAGTAACTCGGAAGTATAGGCGGCATACAGCTTGCAGCTCTTCTTAGTGTCGAAAACACCATCCATTCAAGTGCTTTGAGTCCCGCAGTGGACTGATCGTTAAGACACGGTTCCCAGCAGATCACCGAAGTCAAGCATCACTGGCTGCGGTCAGTGTGCGGGTGGGTGACCACTTGGATCAGTCTGCGTAGGGACCGAGGGTGTGCGGTATTGGTCCTCGCTAAGCTGTGCTACCGTAAAGTGCTCGACTTCGCGCGCAGGTCGTCGGGCTACCGAAGCGGGGGTGCCATCCCCTCCGCAGAGGATCAAAATTGTGATGGCATGTCTTCGGATCATCCTCTGTGATGTTTCCTAGACCGTCGCCAATAGCCCATTGTGCAGCTCTAGTGCGACGTAAATTAACAACAACAACAACCAATCAAGTACTTTGATCGTGAATATGAAAGAAATTTATTACCTCCAAAACTAATTCAAAATTGCCAATAACAAAAAAAGGTTGAAGTAGCAAAATCTAGTAAACATGAATAATGATAAAGTGATAATGATGATAACGAGCATAAAATCAGTCTGCTGAATGCGCGATTTTTCTTCTTCTTCAGTTTAGTTATCAACTAAGAAGCTGGCAACATCTTCTGAAATTGAATACCGAATTGATTACAATTGATTGTTTGTTTAGTGTTCGGAAGATTTTCAAATATGAAAGTGAGATGGAAGAAAATGTGATATTTTTTTAAAAATAAAACTCTGAAATGTTAAATATTACCTGGACAATGAAATTAAGAAAAAAATGTACAATGTTTATTTAATTATTAATACTAAGCGTGGCATTAATCCTCAAAATGATATTCATAAATTAGTTCATAAAAGAAATTTGTGCCATATCAGAAATCAAATCAAACTGGAGTCCGACGAGTTTGTTTACGTGGAGCATACTCATTCTGTCGAAGTTGGTTTCAGTTTAATTTTTTTTAAATAAATTGAACTGTGTGCATCCTCTGTTTTTTTGTAGTGTTTCGGAAATAATGAGATTTGTATAAATGAATTAATATCCCATTTATATTGTTTCTTAAGTAGAATCGTTGCTTTTCAATTATTCTTAAAATAGAAATATTGTTTCCTTTGTAGTTTTTTCTTTTATCGCTAAACTACACAAAATACATTAATGGTAGTACAATATGTTCTACTGTGGATACTATAAGACTCTGCTGGACAAAAAACTTTGGTTTCCTGAGTGAAAGGCACTCTTTTTTTAATCAAAAAATATCAAGCTTTGAATTAAAATTTTACAGTGGCAATTTAGTTTAAGTGAAAAGAAAAGATAAAAAATTAATTTAATGAATTTCTCAAGAAATAAAAATTGAAGTTTTTTTCAGCGTTTTAGTCAATGAAGTATCATAGAACTGTTTATGATTTTTATAATGAACTTTAAAATACTGTATTGTGTATTACAAATCACATATTATATTATTAACACACACATTTATATTATTAACAGCATACTAATTTTTATCTCCAAATGCAGTGAAATATGCATACTGAAAATAATCATTACGCAGTTTGATGCTGAGAATGTTCAATAGATAATTAAAATTGTAGTTTTGCACATCCAATCATATAAGCACTAGTTAATCATAATTTAAGAAATGAACTTAATTTTTATTCACCCATTTAGAATTTTCAACTTTGAATCAATCATCATCGTTAAAAAAATTTAATAAGAGAATAAACAACTTTGAAACTGTTTTGATATAGAAGCTGAAAATCATGTAAAAGCTTAATTTTCAAAAATTAAAGAACCTAGTAACCTATAGAACTTCTGGAATGAATTTTTGGGAAAATATTTGTCTAGATTTTTTTGAGAGGTACCTATTTTGTGAAAATTTAAACATAGTTTGTGAAAATTAAAAATTTTATTAAAGAATTGAAGCAAAAATATGGGTTTATCATTTCTTACGGGATACAAAAATAAAATTTTAAGTGAAAGTATTTTGTGAAATTTTTCCTAAAGTTGAATTTGTGAGGGTACGGCTAAACAGTAGCAAATTTGGCCCCTGTCACTGCTTGCTCATTACGTTCATTTGTGCTTTAATTCAAGAAAAAACTGTAAAATATTCACGCATCTCAGGAATATTTCTTTCAAAACTGAAATTAAAAATATGCAAATGTTTAGAAATAATAGAATTTTATACATCATAGTAGTTAAGAAGTTATGAAAATTAATGCTGTTTATAAATGTAAATACAATATGTGATTAGTATATGTTTTGTTAAATGAGTTGATCGATATTTTCACAGTTCTTCATATAATGCTAAAATTACATTTTACATACATAAAATATTGACCAATTTTATATTTTTTTTCCTTGCTTTTTACATAATTAAAAATGATATTTTAGCAAGCTAAGATATTTGATACTATTATTTAAACTCGATTGAGTCATTCGAAAATGATTTTAAATTTCTTTTTATATGAAAGTTTCTTCTAGTTGGGAGATTACTTCAAGGGTGACACACACACATTTCAACTTTTTCGTATTAATAGGCAAACCTTTTTATTCTTTTGAAATTAATTAAAAAAATATTTCATGCATCAAAGCTTTGTAACATCATTTATTAAAGTTCTGTTTTTATGTGCAAATGACATGAAACAGTTCAAAATAAATAATGTTTCTGCCAGATTTGTTAGATTCTCAATGTCCTATTCTGTTTTCTTTTCTATGAATCGGTGAAACATTTTTTTTTCTCTTATTAAATTTATTGCGCCTAAATAAGTATAGTTTTAGCTCACATGATTTAAAATAGGGTGGACTATGTGTGTTTTGAAAATAAATATTGTTTTTAGGAATACTTTTAAACTTATTGTGAATCATAATATTGTTTGGTTGAGCTTAAAAAAGTGCCACTTGGTGAGTGCCCGGAGTGTAATACTGAAATTTGTTATCCTTACGATAAAACTCTGCCCGTGTACTTGATATATCTTTATGTTTATTATGAAAATAGCACAAATATATGTAGAAAAGTTACAGATTTGTGAAAGTGTTTTTGTCCTTTTTTTTTTTATTTTAATGTTTAAAAAAATTACTCTTATGTTGCATTGGTTGGTCTCGTAAAGGTATTAAAAAAATTAAGAGCTATTAATTATTAGTTTGATGACTTTTTTTTAGGTGGAAAGATCTCACCAAATTAGCATTTTTTTTTTTAAAGTTACTAGTTTTTTTTTTTAATATTTAAGCTTTTTGTACCTTTATAATTGTTACCTTCATATTCCTTCATATAATTCTTTACAGCCAGATAATAGAGTAAAATTATAATTTGGCTTTTCCATTTAAGGCAACGCTTAATTGCTTCTCTTACCAATTATATTGGAGGAAAAAAAAATGCAAAAAATTAACATTTTTTTTTTTTATTTCATTGAAAAATACAAGGAACTAAAACAAAACATAATATGCAAGTTCAAAGTTGAAATTTTAATTTTTTTATGTGTAAAAAATATTTAATTGATGTACTATCAGTTTACTATCCCACATTATTTCAGCCAAATGATAAAAGTTAAATATCAGTCTTTGTATGTGTTCACATCTTCATCATCTGAAAAATCATCTGCATTACTTTCGCTCACGAACGTCATTTTTTGACCCTTTTTTTCTCTTCCTTCTACCCTTTTTTTCTCAATGTAAAATCAACAACCATCGTAAATACATTTGTACAAAACACGTCTGCAGTCCCACAAACAGCAAAACCAGAGCTCATTCTAGGCAGGGTAAACAGGGCGCAGCACCCTGTTGCCCTTATAATCAAAATAATCCACCCTGTTGCCCCTGAAGTAAATTAGTGCCCTGATGTAATAGACTCCATACCCTTTCTTTCTTCAACCATTCTTTATTTTTTCCCCAAACTCTACAGGGGATTTCTTAAACTTTTGTTATTTTTAACTCTTTTTATTTAGTTTGTCATTGCTGTCAATACATAGATTTATATGGGAAAGGAAAGATAGCCATGAAACCCCCTTGTTGCACTTGTCTTTGAAAGTTTGCAGTTACTTCCATTATCTTTAAATCATAATTATTATTAATCATTTTAATTATTAAATCATAACTACAGACACCTAAAAACATACATTTATTATCTTATCAATATATGCACGCATTTTAAATAAATTACTTGTACTTAGCTTATTAATTCGATAGATATGTTAATTTATTAATAAAAATTAGTAATTAATACAATTGCTTTGCTACTTTTTGTAAAGTAAAAAAAAAAAATTCTTTTACTAATTGACAATGTTTTTTAATAGAACGTGTAAAGCCCATAGAAAGAAATTATTGCCTTTTTAGAATAATAATGCCCTTTTTTTAAACTTTTGCACCCTGCCCTTTTTTTCTGCCTAGAATGAGCTCTGGAATATGAGTAATTCAGTCAAAATTTACAATGCACTACAGTAATAATAGTGTTGAATGAATTACTATAAGAAAACCATCAAAATAAATAAATAAATTACGTTTCATATTTAATCTATAGGAATCCAATGTATATAAAATGCATCAAAATTTTCAATAAAATTAATTTATGGTTTGGTTTTAGAGCTTTCTTTAGAAAAAACTTGCTTTTATACCCATTTTACCTTGTTTTACATAGAGCAATTAGTTGTAGTTCTAACCAAAAAGTGGAAAATGTACAGTGAAATTAATCAAGTTGATGCCTGTCTAAGTTGACTTCCAGCATCAAGGAACAAATTTATACCATATATAACAGGAGGCAAACTTTTTACAACTAGACCACCTATCTATCTTTCACATTGACTACTAAAATAGTTGAATTTGTTTAGTTTAGAAGTATTATTGAATACTATTCTGAACTCTTCATAAGTTGACCAGAAAAAGAAATTTTTTTATTAAATCATTTTATGTACTAGAATTTCATTCTTTTGTTTAAATAATATTAAAAGCAAATCTAAACTTCTTTGTCAGCTGACTATATGGAAAAACTATAAGCACATTTGTAACAAGTTGGTTTGTNATACCTACAGTAAACACGTGGTTGCAGAGAAATGTGTTCTGAAAGGGGTTCCGTGGTTCGGAGGGGTTGTGTTCTGTTGTTCGAAAAGGTTCTGAACAATGCCTACTGGTAAATAGGGAAGCTAGATAACGGGGCAAGTGTTGAAAATAATGAAGATCCAGGAAGAAAAGTGAAACTGATTTTATTCTAAATGACGTAATTCGAAGCTTTTTCCAAAATGCGAGAATTTTTGCGAATTTTGAAATTGATTTATAGAGTGCTCGAATTTCTCGCGGTAATAATTTTTTAATGCGAGAAAAGAAAAAAATATGTGAGATTCTCGCGCTGTAGTGAAAACACTGTTTTAACCCACTCAATAGTAATTGTTTGATCAATTTGGTTAGCTAAAATAAGCCCAACAGCAGAGTTGGCAAGGTTTAGGGCAGAATGGATTAATCCACAGTTAAAACCATGGTTTGAACCATCCTGTCCAAAGCCCCTTTTTTTAAACCTTTGCATTTATTCTTATCCAGACCATTTAATCGAGGTTTTCATCACAGAAAAACAAATAATTAAGAAATGATCACCCTTCTACCAAAGCAGTGTGAAGTTTCTAAAAATTAAGAGAATGCAAACAAGATTCATTTTAGAATTTAAAAAAGGTAAAGGCTGCTGGAAAAAGGAAAAGACGACTAAATGTGCCCACCGAAGAGAAAACTTGCACGGAAATTGTAAATCGAGCGTGTCAGAAATTCATTACTCGAAACTTTGATAAGCCAGAGATGATTGTGCTCCAGAAAATATCCGGATTTCCAGATTTTTCTTTAACCACGATCCGGAATTCCAAGGTCCAGAGATTTCAAGATATGTTAAGAACTTATATTTTTTATTTAAACTTCATTCCATTTTTTTTATTTATTTTTTATTATTTGAAAACAGCAATGATTTCAATTTAAAACGACATTAATTTTTTCAACTGTGTCATTGATGATTTTACTCAAGAAATTTTCAAGATTTCTGAGTTTTGCTCACAATCACCCCTAATAAGCTTAATTTGTTGAACCCCTCAACAAATTTATATTTTGCCATTTAAAATTATATTCTTAAAAATGATGCGAAAAATTGTATACCTTACAATTCGATATTTTTTTTAACCATTACTAAATAAAATAATATAGAATAATAAATATTTACTAAAATGTATTTTTTTTTCATGAAATTATCTTTAGCTAAACGAATTTTATAATTGTGTGAAAAAATTTTAATTTGTTTACAAAATTCTCAAGATACAGTGAAAACCGATCCAACTCAGATTGCTTCTACCCCCTATATTTTGGGGGTCAGAAATCCGATTCCCTCTAAAAAAAAGATACATTTATTCCGAGAAAGTACGTTTTTGTGTCTGATTTTGAATTTCCGTCCACTCTTATTAATTAGCATATTTGAAGTCATTCCCTCGAGCCTTTAAGACTGAGTCCTAGACCGTGAAGTTCCGATCATCAGATCAAAAGTTATTCAGGGTGGTCCATTCTTTTTTGGCTCACTGTACACTACTACAAATGTAAATCCAATACTATTAAGTATAAATGCTCAAAACGACTTTTAAGTAATGTTATATAAAGATTATAAAATTAAATTTATGTATTAAAATAGTTGTTGTTTTTTTAAAAAACAGTAAAGAAAAATTGTGGAAAAATTTTAACTTTCTGGAAGTATTTTATTTATTTAAATTTAAGCTGATTCTATTGGTAAACAATTATTAGTCTTATAGCTAAACAATTGAATGAGTCATTTTTAGTTTTTTTCCGTTTTGTCTAGTTTTTCCAGAGTCCTGGCAAAAAAATAAAGCAGGGATGATTGTATTCCAGGGTTACCCCGGAATTCCGGGATTTTTGTGTCATCCCTCCAGGTCTAGAAACCAATAGCAAGGCATGTGATTTTTTGCTCAGAATGCCACATATCTCGAGACCATTGATTTGCGGGCTTCCACGCATCAGAACTCATAATCCGATAAAATTTTAGCCGCAATTTAAAATTTAAAGTTAGAAACAAGTTCTACAATCAATAGTTGAAATCTTCACTGAATCGCGTTAACGAGATGTTTTCAAATATGTGACCTTCTGCAATTATAATTTTTGGTTAGTCGGATTTTCATAGTTTTTAATGTTTGAAAATAAGCCAAAATCCTCAAATATCGAGATTCACATTGTGCAATTTCCTAATTTAAAAATCATGCATTGCGATTCATATTCAAGGGAGTTTAAAATCGGGTGTCGCTATTCCTATTCACTGGTTCTAAAAAATCATGTGCATCGTGATTTGTATCTTTGCCTTTTTAAAATCTAATATCCTGATTAATATTAATGCGATTTTTGATGTGATGTGTAATAACCGTATAGATTTTTTGACGGCTATTGAGGTATTAAAGAAAAGTTTAAAGAAAAATAAATTTCCTTTCAACTTTAATAATTTTGATGTTTTGATTAAAGACATTTTAAAAAAATTCTATNGTGCATCGTGATTTGTATCTTTGCCTTTTTAAAATCTAATATCCTGATTAATATTATTGCGATTTTTAAACCCAATATCGTGATTGATTCTTGTAATAACTAAATTTTTTTCTTAAATTAGTTACTATAAAAGTGTGATATTCTTCATTGATGAGTTATTTAATTATTAAAATATTATATTAACTATGAATAGTGTATAAATTTATATATTATCTAGTTTTTGCACATAAAATTTTCAGTTTATGTCACAATTTAATTGATTATTTCAGGCTATGTTCACGAGTGAGATGGCTGAAAGTCAGCAGAGGGATATAGTACTGAATGGAGTTGAGACATCTACCCTCAAACTTCTCCTGGATTATGCTTACACTGCAAGGGTTCCCATCAACAAAAACAATGTTCAGGCTCTTCTCTCTGCATCCAACCTTTTAGAGGTTTTGCCTGTGAGAGAGGCATGCTGCAGATTTTTGGAGAGGCACATGGACGCCACCAATTGTCTCGGCATTCACTGTTTTGCTGAAGCTCATGCGTGCGAGAATTTACAAAGGAAGGCTAAAGAATTCACTCTTCGGTAGGACACTTTTACCTCAATTGGCAGAGATTATTCTTGTAAAGATGTGTGCTTAATCAGCACAATTTGCAAACACTTTGTGGATTAAATTTAATTTTAAAACTTTTTATTTTTGTTTCATTTTCACTTATTCTCAGCTAGGCACGAATGGCTTTTACACCAACAATTCATAATTAGCTAATCATAGTGCGTAGCGTTTTTGAAGAAGGTGCTTATTTTCGATTTTCTTTTTTTAAAAGCCCTTCAGGGGGCTTTTTTCATTGGGTGTTTTTAAAAAGTGCTTCATTTTCCCTTTTAAAACTGAGAATTTTTTCTTTACCGTGTCGATATCTGCCATGTATTGTGCAAAAGCGTGCTTTTCTTCACATCGTTCTATTCAACGTTTTCACAATTTATTCGACCACAATCTAATTCGGCATACCGTCGGGCCATAGCGTACGAAATCGCCAATCATTTTACGTATTTGATGAAATACTCATGTGCAATTCTGCTGCATTTTGCAAGATATTCTCAATTTCGGGCATAATTTTACACCCTCTGATATCGAACCTAATATAACCTTTTATAAAGGCTTATATAATCATAAAAAGAGTTCTTTGTCAGAAAATTTTTATTGTAATCATGTAAAGTCTTTGAAAATTATCTTGCATTTTCTTAATATATATAGTACTTTAAAATATTTTTTGAGTGTTTAAAAAGTACTTAAAAGGTGCTTATTTTTTGTTGAAAGATTTGGCTATGCACCCTGCCTACTTATTCTCAGTTTTTTCTGTTAAAAAAATTTTTCTCCATTTGATCTTTTTTTTAAAAAAAATACTAGACATGTTTCTGCTAAAAGTTCCTTTGTGGATAGGTTTGTTTTGTAGATATACTTCCCAACAGGTCTGCATAATATACACGGATGCCATTTGTGGAAAATTTGTCATTTATTGCAGAAATTTTTTTAGTATTGCTCATTATAAAAAAAATTGCTCATTATAAAAAAAAACAGTCAAAATACCCCACAGTCAATATTTTTCACCATCATGGAAAAGTTTAATTGCTTGTTTAGATTTTTAAAAAAATCAAAATTCATCACTTCTACCCCAGAGTCATTCTGAGGGAGAGTAATGAAAGAAAGTGCTTTTCTTTCTCTGCTTTGTGCAGCCGCACTTTCTCCGCGATGACGTCATTGCATTTCACTTTAAACCATCAAGAATTGAACAGGCCGCAATTTGTGTTTCTTCAGGCCTAAGAACATTATTTTTTTTTTTGTAAGCTGTTGGCGCACTTGCTGTTATGTTTTATTTTCAAGTAATGTTGCAAGATTTTAAATATGGAAAAAATTCTGCATGTTTTGTTAAATTTTGAACACAGTTTTTGTTGCTTTTTTTTAAAAAATTAAAATGAATCCTTTTAAAAAATGAAGCAATGGTTGAGGAAAACCGTTCACTGTATTATAGCGGAAAATTTGAAAATTATGTTCACAGAAGAAGACTTTAAACATTTTAAATACATTAAGTGGGTGTGAAAGGACAGACATTTACTAAAAAGATATGTTTTTAACAAATTTAATGAAATGAATAACAATAATGTGTCTTAAAATGATAAATTGAAGGAAAAGAAGTTTATTTGCATTTATTTTGCAGCAGGTTTAGTGATGTGATGTCCAGTGATGAGCTCCTCTCATTGTCACAAAGCAAGTTCATTGAACTCATATCCAGCGACCTGCTGAATGTAGAAAAGGAAGAGACTGTATTCGATGCTGTTCTCATATGGCTGAATCATGATTCAGTCAACAGAAGTGAAGACTTCCATTTGGTATATTTTTATTTTTGATCACCATCATTTTTTGAGAGGTACCTATTTTGTGAAAGTTAAAAATTATATTAAAAAATGAACACAAAAATATGGATCATCATTTCATACGGGATATTTAAAAAAAAAAATTTTAGGAAAAAGTATTTTGTGAAACTGCCGTTTTTACTTAAAGTTGAATTACTGAAGGTACTGCTGAACGGTAGTAAATTTGCCCTGAACAGACCCCTGTTTTTGGTGTAAAATAATACAGTAGCAACCGATATAAAAGAAAAATTTATCCTACTTCAGGACAGAAGCCATATGGGTCCTCTGGCAGCCCAATTAAAATTAGCCTTGTTATGAAAGTTGTTAGGAGAACAGTTTAAGAAAGAAAGCACTAAACAGCTTGTCTGTAAAGGACAGAGTTAGAACCATGCCAATATGGTGTCCCTGGAGAAAGCATACCTGCCAAGTCTCCTGTTTCTTACGACTATCTCCTGTTTACCTGTATATTCTCAAATTTCTTCGTATTTGTTAAAGAAATTTTAACAAAAAAAATTTTTTTGACCATCAAATATCTGCTGATGGCAAAAATACTTGACTTATTCCTCAACAGATTGTGCTATTGCCAGTACTGTGGTATATTGAGCGTTTATTGTTAAAGAAATTATAAATAATGGCTTAAAATTTTTTTCTTTGGGTTAAGATTTATATACATATTTTTTACTTCGCTAAATGTAATTATTTCCAATTTTGAATTTCTCTTTTTGATTTACATGATTATGCGTGATGTTATAAAACTTCACTCGCAGCCTAAAAATGTTGCTGGTAAAATCTCCGTTATTTTATTTCTCCAATGTTGGCATGTATGGTGAAAATCATGTCCAGTCAACAGTCTAAAGTTGTGTAGCAAATACAGAAAGCACTCATTTTAGTATTAGCATTTCTTTCAAATTCGCAATTACCTTTTAAACTTACAATTTATAAATAGCAATCGTGCAACACGCTTAGGAGTAACATGCTATAAGCAGTTTCTTGCATAAAAACCAGGTTATTTGATGTCTGTCCTATTTCGGGTGGAAAAAAGTGATTCATTAGAAGTGAGTTGCATACTATCACTTAAAAATGTCTAACTACAAATTGTCTATATACACCTTACGGCTTACGAGAAAAGCATTTTATTAAATGTAAGTTCAAAATACAACTGTGAATACTTCTGCGATATTAAATGGTGTGTAAAATGCTCATTTTCTGAATTTGCCTTTTTATCTCTGTTGGTGATAAACTGAAATAATTTTTTTTAAAAATCCGATTCCTATAGTATCTCGTGAGAATTTATTGAGTTATCGAGCTTTAAATGCTTCCACTTTAATTATGACCACTCTGTATTTAACTTATTAAATTAAAGTGAATGGAATTATAATTATAGTAAAATTTCATGTATTTCAAGTGTGAGGAAATAAACAAATTTCAAATACTTGAGCATCAGAAATTTCAATTATCTATAGTACTTACTTTTCTGTAATTTACTCATATTTCTTTTAAAAATAATAACAATAAAGACTAAATTTAGTAAATGGGAAAAAAAGATAAGACAAGAGCTAAAAAAACATTTTTTTTCAACCAGAATAAAAAAAATTTAAAATAAAAGTTTTAAGAATTTGTTCTTACTTTTTTTAAATAGCAATAATGGAAAAAAAACTACTATAATAATCAATAAAAATTATTGAAGAAATAAATGATTAAAAATGCAAAGTTTCAAAAAATTTAAGAGAGGAGCAGAAAAAATATTTTGTTGTTAAACTCTTACTTAATCATGATTTTAAAAATTTCTTTTAATTATTTGATTAAAAAATTCTTGGTTTTTGCTTATTACCATATTGACTTGTCAGAATAAAAAATAAGATAATAATAAAAATTAGAAGCACAGCTAATAATAAATTAAAGAGAAAAAGAAAAGAGTGGTTTGAAAATATTTAAAATTAATAAGAGACTGAATAATAATGAGATAGAAAAAAAGGATGGAAAAGCAAAATGAAGAAGGGGGAAAATATCATTTTTATTTCTTTTACTCTAACTTTATTATCCATTTGTTGTCCTTGAAAAATTGTAATTTCAATGAGGAAAAAATTCAAGAGATTGTGGGGAGAGTTTTCATTGACAATGTTAACATTCATTTATGAAAAGGTACTCCAACATAGAATCAAGTTAACATGTCTTATGTACTAGGGAATTGGAATTGTATTTTTGTAGTGGCAAATATATATACACTATAGTACTCCCCCACCAGAATTTTATCTGTGGTAGAATTCGTTGAACAGATACCACTAGTTGATTCAGTGCTGTTTTGTGAGAAGCCGGGAGAGCTGTATTAAGTTTTTGGTCACTCCTGTGTTGCCTTTAGCAGTCGAGTGAATATGTTGTACGTTATGTGTGAGCGAGACTGAGTAGCAACAGTGTGAGGAGATGGATAATGTTACAGTCACAGGGAGCAAGTCAACTTTTCAAGTGAACAATCCATCAAAGTAGGCATGTTCAAATTGAAGTCGGAGTTTTCTGTCAAGGTAGGCGTGTTCAGATTGAAGTGGGGGTTTTGGTCAAGGTAGGCATGCTAACATCACGTCCGGCTCACCAAGAGTAGCTAACGACAATGTCAACCTTCATTTATGAAAAGGTACCTCCCACAGAATCAAGTTAACATGCCTTATATACTATACTAGGGAATTGGAATTTTATTTTTGTAGTAATAGATATATACACTATAAGATCATCAGAAAAAAAAATCTCCTTTTTTTCTTATCTCTTACTTTACTATCACCTGTTTCAAGGCTGTAATGTTAAAGTTTTTTTTATATGTAATATAACCATATTTTCCAGAAAAAGCATGGTGTCAAAACAAGAATACTATTATGAAACAAACTACAGTCAGTGGCGAGACAGCCCATAGAGGGCCAACACCTACTGTACCCATCTCAGTTTTCTTGACCTTTGGTCTCTGGGTTGCAAGAGCAGATGTTCCAGTTGGGTGGTCAACCCAATGCGGATCCCCCAGTGTTTAGTTCCCGAGCATGCTCGGTTCTCATTTTATCGACCCACCAAAGCGACGAAAGGCCGAGTCAGCCTTGCCCGGCCCAAGGATCGAACCGAGGACCCGTGGCAAGACAGTGCGAAGCGCTACCATTCATCCACTGGGCGTCATTATGAAACAAAAGGTCATCACAATCAGTAAGTTAAAGGGGGGATGTCATAATGGTTTTCCATTAAAAAACATGAAAGGTAAATAGAAGACTGAATAAAAGCTATAAAGTGAAGAGATGCTAAGAATTTGAATTTTTTCTAGGTTTTAGAAGAAGTCCGTTTACCTTTGATGAGTCCTTATTATTTGCACGATTGTGTGGCAACAGTCCCAGCTGTAGCCACGTCTACCCACTGCCAAAAACTTCTTGAGGAGGCCAAGTTGTACAACTTGCTTCCGGACCGCAGACACCAGACAACATCTGTGAGGTTCAGACCTCGGAGAGCTTTCGGTATGTGCCTGCTTCTTTCTCAGAAATTTCAATGAAAGGAACGTCACAAAATGATAAAATTATTGCAATTTCTAAAATATTCAAAATTGCAATAATTTTATCACTTTATAAAGTTCTTTTTTTTTTGATTTTTGAAATTGTAATAATGATAAAATTATTGCAATTTTGCAAAAATTTGTCCCGCAGTGGGTTGATCTCTAAGACACGGCTCCCTGCAAAACGCCGAAGTCAAGCATCACTGGCTGCTGTCAGTGTGTGGGGGTTGACCACTTGAATCAATCTACGAAGGGACCAAGCGTATGTGGTATGGGTCATCGTTAAACTGTTCTACCGTAAAGTGCTCGACTTCGCAAGCAGGTTGTGGGGCTACCAAAGCAGGAATGCCATCCCCTATGTCGACGATCAACATTTCGTTGGCGCGTCTTCGGATCGTCCTCAGGGATGTTTCACACACCCTCGCCAATAGCCCATCGTGTAGCTCTAGTGCGACGTAAACGATCTACAACAACATCAAAAATATACAGTAGTTATAGGACACATGATTATTAAATATTAGATATATACAGGGTGTTTATAAAGTCCCGAACCTATTTTGATGTTTAATAACTCATAAAATAATAAAGATAGATTAAAATTAATAACATACATGGTTAGATAGACTCATAAAGTTTCATAACCCTTGTCAATGAACTTCCACGTGTGCCCCTTTCATTGCACGGAGAATATCAAGTCGATAGTCAATTTCACGCCAGGTAGCGGCAAGCATGTCGGCATCCACAGAGGCTATTGCGGTTGTAATTCTGGCTTTTAGGCCATCAATGTTCGACACGATCCTCCTGTAAACATTGTCCTTTATAAATCCCCAAAGAAAAAAGTCCAGCGGCGTTATATCAGGTGATCTGGGTGGCCAAGGAATTGGACCTCCTCGCCCAATCCATCTTCCTGTAAAATGGTCATTCAAAGAACTACGAACGATGATACCCCAATGAGGTGGTGCACCATCTTGTTGCAAAAAGACATGTGGCTGAAGCTCTTCTAGTTGTGGAAATACGAAGTTTTCCAACATGTCTAAGTATACGACTGATGAGACATGCTTGCCGCTACCTGGCGTGAAATTGACTATCGACTTGATATTCTCCGTGCGACGAAGAGGGCACACGTGGAAGTTCATTGACAAGGATCATGAAACTTTTTTAGTCTATCTGACTATTTATGTTATTAATTTTAATCTATCTTTGTTATTTAATGAGTTATTAAACATCAAAACGGGTCCAGGACTTTATAAACACCCTGTAGAATAATTATCGTTTTGATGAATGAATTACTTTAATTTTGAGTATTAAAGTAAAAGATTCTTTTACCTAAAGCATAATATTAATCTCTTGTTAATATTTTTTTTGTGAGCAGTTTATATTTATGGGTTTTTTTACATTGTCTTGTACCATATTAATGATTTTTTTAATTACTATAAATAATTGTATATTAATAAATACCATAGCTGACATTAAGTTCTTCGAGTTTTTTTTTATTTTCAAAGAGAGCTCTCTTACAATAGAATATTTGTCATTTATAGACGTATTTGCTCAACCCATTATTTGTTTGGGAATTTAAATACGTATTGAATAATGAAGTGAATACCATTTACAACAATGAGTTAGGAATGAAGAACAAGTTTGATTTATTCTTTATTCAATTTCATAGTTTTCATTTCATTTTTTAGAATGTATTATTTTTACTTGAATTTAGTTTTAACCTTTTGTTGTTTGAAATTGTTTAACCTCTGTATAATATTCAAGAGTAAGCTATACTGATTAAAACTGTGTCATTCAAACGCCTTTTTAACACTTATGAATTGAATTTACTCATGCAACATGTTATCTGAGTTTAATCATGTTAAAGAATATTTATCTTGGATAAGAATTAAAAGTGTTGAAAATGTGTGCTATCTGTTACAAATGATAAAATTAGTTAGGAAATTCAGGGGGAAATCAAGGAATTTTTTTTCCAGCCTTATTCACTATCTGAACTAAAGAGATTTTGGGCAATTTAAATTTATGCATCCTTTAAATAAATACTAATGCATTGTTCTACAAGTTTATGAACAAAATTATGTTTAAAAAAAATATTTTGTTATTAGTGGCTGACTGAAAAATTTAAAAAAAAATATATAATAAAATAAAAAAACAGCATTATTAGCCATAAAAATAAAGGTCAGTCTTCTACATATGTTTTTCAAAATGTTCTAAACTATTCATCCGGCAGAAAAACGTTATTGCTTTTGTTGGAAATTTTATTAATGTCACATTTTATAGGCTAAACTTTTTTCACTTGCATTTATTCCATTTATGATATTTTATTTTTGTTAAGACATTTACTGTTTGTCTTAGATAGGTACTCTGCCAGACATTCGTCTGGAACTGTGGCGGTGACTATGGTAACGAGGTATGATAATTTCAAGTAGGGTTGCGGGATCCCTCTTTAGGACTGGTTTCGGCGAGAGAAGAGACCTCCTTCCTAAAATGCCCTCTTCTTGTTTCCATAGCACCAGACTGTCGCAGACTTAGTGGCGGTCAGAGTACCTATCTTAGACAGAAAGTAAGCAGAACTCCTGCAAGACCATCACTCTTTATTGCTTTAAAATATTTCATTCAGGGCACTATTCTTACAATTCTGCAAAATTTCAAAACTGTTTCTGATCATTTTAAATTTTGTAGCAATTAATTGTAATATTGATAGATCTAATATCGTTTGTGTTTTTAATTTAATTATCTCAAGAATGCCCAAAATGTATTCATTTGTTTGACCAAACATTTTGAAAATTCTGTTTAATTCTGTCTGAAAATTTTTAAACAAAGACCTGAATAAATATCAAGTATGAAAATTTAAACAATACTAATTTAGGAGGTGTTCAGGGGATAGAGTGCTTGCCTTCCAATGATGTGATCCAAGTTTAAATCCTGTCAATGATGTAATATTTGAATCCCAGTTCAATATTACAAGCATGAATTTTTTTTGCCAATTTTGACGTATGCTTGGAAAAACCATCAGATGACAACAGTAGGTTGTTTATCACTAGAACATTTGTTGTTAAATTGTTTTATAATATTTAATTTTTATTCACTTCTGTTTTATAAAGGCTAGTTTGAGTTCATATTAATGTCCTGTCTGTGATGTGTGTACGTTTGATTTACAAACATATTTTATTGTAGGAATTAGTGTACAGATGCAACCTAAATGATTGATTCTTACTTTATATTGTATCGTAAAATTACTGACTCTTACGTGTATCCTATCTTATTGATATTTTAAATTTTAGTGTTGTTGAATACCAAAATGGTGGCACGAAGTAATTTAAAAGAACAATTTTGGTGTTTCAGAAACTCTCCTTGGTGTAGCGAAAAACCAAGTATAAAGAAGTTACGTGTTTCAGTTGGCTATAAAGTAGTTGCCACCATTTTTGGTGTTGACTCATACATTTTTATGGTATTGCTCAAAAGTTGTATATCTCTTGCAGGAGTTGCTGAAGTGGTTGTTGCAGTGGGAGGGGAAGATGACAAAGTTGTCCTCCGCAGTGTAGAGTGTTTTGATCCAGTGAATGACAAGTGGTTGACTCTAGCGTGTTTACCTTTTGCTATCAGCAAGCATGGTGTAGTCGTCACTGGTAAATACCTCTTAGGCTATTCTAATTTGGAACATTGTTATTTGTTGAGTTTAAAATATTTATAAGTTATCTGTTAAAAAGCTCTTTCCTCTTATGCTAGAAAATGTTACAGTATAATTTAAACAATTTTACATTGTTATTTAAACAGCATTTTAAAGATTCTAACTACAGTTGCTACGGTTTTTTGTTGTTAGTGCCTAGTAAATATTTTGTTTAAGAAATAAATGTATACTTTTTAATGCTTTAAAAAACTTTGTAATGACACTATGAAAGGAAATAATGATGTCATTACAAATGATTACTTTTATTAGATTATGCTTTTCAACGAGCATAATCTAATTTGTTAATATGAAACATTTGTAGTACGGAAGGAGGTTAGTGTAGACATATAGAATAAGTCCTTTGTAGCATGTCTAATATACATTTTCATGTGCAGTTGCACACTCTGAATACTTTAATAGAAATTTTAAACTAAAATGTAAATCTTTTAAGTAACTTTCAAATTTTCTCTCTTATTAGCATCCCCGTAGCAGAATCGCAGAGACAGGGCGACATTTTCGCAGAACATTACACAGTTCATGCATTAGGATTTTTCTTTTGAAAAGTAAAAAAAAAAAAAATACTTTTCTTTTCTACAAAAATTTACAACCTAATATTTGAATCATACATTTATATAATCATATTTAGATGTGCTCGATTTTCGCCGATAGTGTCGTAAATCGATGGGATGTTTCAATTGTATTTACGGCAGTTATTAATTTTGCAACATTATTTTTAAATATCCCAATATATTTGAAACAATATGAAAAATTCAAATCGCGCATTTTAGTATTTACTTTTTAAGAAAATAATTTTATGCAATTTTGGGCTGTTATTGCTATTGATTTCTCCATAATTTTTAAACCAGAGAGCAACGATTTTTTTCAATACAACCCACCCTCTTAATTCCCTGAAAAGTTTTCAGTTTCAACTCCTTAGGTGAGTTGACTATCATAGCTTGCAGAGAAAGAGGGAAAGGAAAGTTAGCAAACAAATTCTCGGGCATTTTGGCAATCTGAGGGAGGTAGGGATTTTTAGATCCCTGAAACCAGTGAGTTAAGTGTTTACCCTGTGGCATAAATTTTACGGGCTTTCTGCCATAAAACCCTCGAATACTAATATCTTTCTGCAAGGTACTTTCAATGATAACAAAGATGTATGTTACTAATTTAAAGTAACAAAAGCGCTGTTTAAAAAAAAAAAAAACATAATTTTTATTTTAATACTATGGGCGATTTTCTTTCCTTTTGTTAGGGAGAGAAACGCACTTCCTTCATCGCATTTTGTTGATCGGCATCACATTAAAAAAATAATTTAAAATCATACAATTCGCAGCAGTAATTACCGAAAAAAGATTGATGAGAAAATTACACAAATTGGAATCTTCAGAAGGGGTTACTCAAATGCGTGCTCAAGATTTGATTGTTGTAATAAATAATATCGGATAATTTTAAAAACTATACGGAAATCTAATGCAGTAATTGCCAAGGAAAACGATAGAATTATTGCCTTAAAAAGCAACTACACGAATGCATGTTTTGAATTTCCCATATCGTCTGGAATATATCGGGATAGTTAAAAATCATGTGAAAATCAATAGCTGTAGAAAATACAATGCAAACACTACATGGATTTACGATACTATCGGCGTAAATTGAACGTGACAAAAGTTATTATTTAAATGGGCAATTCAAATTTCACGTGTAAATTTCTGCAGAAACGAAATCCAAATTTTTTTCTTCCCAAACAAAAAATCTTTCTGTGACTTTGTCATCGCCATTCTGCCACAGGGAGTGCTTGTAAAGAGCATTTCATTTTTTTTTTTTTTTTTGCTATGTTGATTCTCATCATGAATTACACATAAAAAAACATGGTTTTCACGACGTTCCATACAATGTTTACCAGGGTTGCCACTCCACAGAGAAAACCTGGAAAATACTCGGAATTTAAAAATCAACTAAAATAACAAAAAATTCTGATTTTTGTTTTTTTTTTTCTTTACAGACTGGGAATTTTTTTACTCATTTTTGTCTTTTTAGAAAGGGTGACTTCTCGAAGCATAATCTATGGGATATTTAAGGATGTTATTTCAGTTATACTAAACTATTTCATTTGCTATAACATTATTAAGTATGTTTAGCTACTTTCATCCATTAAAACTAGTATAGTTAGCCCACTGTAGCTCACACAAGAGTAATTGTTTCCTCTTAATATATTGTGTATAATAAATATGTACAGAAAAAAAAATACTTTCTTTCCTGGTTTGAGTGACAACCCTGCTGTGGTTCCCAATTTTTTTCATCTGTGGAACCCTAAACGATCAACCTTATAAAAAAAGTATATAAAAACATTTGTAAACACATTAACATGAAAAACTATTTTCTTTTGTAATTATGTAATAAGAAGAATGAAATGTGTATTTTCATTGTTTTATCATTAATAATCTTAAATAAGGTTTTATGTCCAACAGTTGAGTGGAGCTGTATTTAATTTGATTCATAAATTGTTTTTGATCTCTACACATAAATTAAATGATGGTTTTTGTTAAAAATGAAAGTTAAAAGAGAAGTGCTATAAATGTTGAAACATATTTTCTTATTAAACAATATAATAATTTTATTTCGCTCTGAAAAAGTACACCAGGAAATAATAATGAAATTTTTCATCATTTGTTTTAGATACATATAGTTATTAAGAGAATTATATTTTTTAAAAAGTCTGCATTGGCATTTTATTTCAAATAATTTCATATGTATGCAATCAAAATATGAAATAAATGATGAGTCTAAATACGAATGCAGGTTTCAAGAACTCATTACTAGTTACTCTCAGAGGATTCTATTTATTGCATAGCTTTCTGTACCGAATCTTTTACTGAAATGTTCCATGATATAATAGGTCAAAATATTCTGTATGTTGCTGGTGGAGAATATCCAGATGGCCAAGCGAGTAAATCTTTATGGAAATATGATCCTATATTCGATCAATGGCACGAAATGGCATCCATGACTGTCGAGAGATCCGAATTAGGTATTTTACTTTATGACTTCATTTCACACACTTTTTGTTGTTGCTACATTTGCATTTCATTATAATTGAATCGGGTGGGAAGATTACTTTAAATACTTCTGGAGCACAATAAGGATTACAAAATATTATCCTCTGCTCTGAATTCTTGCTCTTAAATGATAAGTAAGCATGATTGGCTGGGTGCAGCACTATGGGTCATTATACTGCATATTAAAATATTTTTTAAAATGATAAGTTAAATTCTATTTATAATTTTTTTGACTGTGAGACTATTTAACTATGACAATTTTTATTTTTAAAAAAATCCTTATAATTTTCAATAATTTAAAATGTTTAATGTAATAATAGTAATTTATTCTAATATATTATTTGACATACAGTGGAATCTTAAAGGCAATCTTAACCTTGATTTAAAGCATAAATAGAAGAACCTAAAAAGCACATAACTCAGTTAAATCAAACTATTCCAATATTTCTAATTTTCTTCAGTTTAAAAAACTGGGTGTTACTGATGTAACAAAATATGTCACGTCCCAAAAAATTTTTTATTTGTTTGAATTATACCAAGAGTTAATTTTACAAAAATTATTAGAACTTTCCTGTTATTTTTCCATTTAGTTATATACATTCAAAGTTTGCAAGTACGAAATTTTTAAATGGTGAAATAGCCTGAACCTGCTTCAGTTCTTCTATAAAAATGAAAGAAAAAAAGATATGAATATTGTTTTTAGCAAAAGTCATAACGTTCAAACTAAGACTGCTCTAATGAATAAACAAATGGGAGAAAAAAAATTATAGCTGTTTTAAAAGTAAAACTAAGCATTGGAAAATATTTTTTTTTCTAAAGTATTTCTTCAAACAATCATCTGTAAAAGAAATGAAACATTTAATTTTTTGGATATTTTAGTGTCTTAGCTCTTGGATAAATAAAATTTCACAAAAATTATGAAACATTGAGTTAGTTTTTCTTTCAGAAGACTTAAACTATAAATTGCCAACTCTTTTCAAAAGTAATTAATTATTTACTTTATAGTAATAAATGATTGATAATGTATTTTCTTCTGAAAAACTATGAGTGAAGTCTTTATTTTGCAAAAGGCTCTTGAAAATATTCACTGTTATTAGTGTATAAGGATATTTTTTCTGATACTGCTAATAAAACTGTATTAAAATAAAATTAAAGTATTCTGTATACCTTTCGTACAATACAACTCTTGGTTTGACTTGTGCCCATTATATTCTGATTGTAAACTATGTACTCTTTATGAAATTGAGTAATCCTATTTTTTATAAGCTTTTTCTTACAGTACTTAAATTTTCAGTACTAAACTAATCAATGTGAACTTAAAAGTGATTTCATTTTATTGTAAGAATGTTTATGTTCCGTTTTTCATTTAAGCGGTCTCGTTCTTATCACACAGTTAACAGAATAAAACCTCCGACCGAGGTCCCTCGGAGGACTGTGTGACAGTGCTCAGAGGTGGTCGCCATTCAAAGTTACAAACAAATTGGTTATTTAAAAAAATTATAAAAGTATTGCAAACAACAAAAATGATTTTTTAAAAAATTCATAATTACAAACAAGATGTCTCAAAGGAATAATCCACTTACCTGGCATTTCATTTTTTACACAAGAATCTCCAAGTGTTGCTCACTTTAAATTTTTTGTTAAGGAATCACCACAATATACATTTTATGCCCGATACCGAAATGTTAGCTGTGGTAGCCCCTTCCAATGAAGTGTATCGGGTTTGAATCCCAGCAATGGCTAATAGATACGAATAACGCATGCAGTGCTGACGTAAAATATCCTCACGGGTCAGAGTTCGCTCGCCATTTGGTTCATCTATGTAAAGCAAATGCGGGTTAGTTCTATGAGAAAGTCCTCCACGAAAGCAAACATTCTCCCAATACTTGATCCAGGAGTTCCCTTGTCTTCTGGATTGGGTTCAAAATGACGAGCATCAGTAGTCCTAAACCCAAAATGATAACGCTGATGTCATCCATAACACTGAATGTGATGAAGGGGATTCAAGACCCTAGTCATCAGCAAAAGGCACATCCATTTGAATCAAGATTTTTAAAAAAGAGCAAAAAAACTTTGTTAGGAGGAAAATAGGTTGCCCACTTATGCAAGCTTCATTCAAATTGGAGTTCATTTTCCACTCGTCTATATTGTTTATTAGATGCGGGGAGAGTAATTATCGACAATGTCAACCTTCATCTATGAAATGGTACTCTGACATTGAATCGAGTTAACGTGTCTCATGTACTAGTGAATTGGAATTTTTTTTTTTGTAGTGGTAGATAGACTGCACCGAATAAGAATTTAAAAAAATTTCCTTTTTCATGTAAGTTTGATCATTTAAACAGCTCAGAAATATTTTTTCTTCAACAACAAAAAATGCATTTTATTGCAACCGAATTCTATTGAACTTGCAATTTTTGCATCTTCATTCTTAAAATTTTGACGTCGGCTCGGTAACTCGTTTAGACGGCCGACTTTTCGTGACGTGATGTTTTCGTTATATCGAGCTCTCGTTGTAGATTAGGTTTTCTAATAGTGTCAATATGTAATCAAATACAAGAAAGCTCATCTTTAAAACTAAATTATAGCAAGTTTTTTGCGTCAGAAAAAATAAAATTTTTTAAATAAGTCCTTGAACTTCATGTATTTTCTACATATCTTAGTTAAAGTAAAAATGGAAAGAAGCAAAAGATTTCAGTCTTTTGACACTCAAATTGTTACCTTTGTGTTTTGGACTTTTATTCTCCTAATTTCCAGTTTGTTTTGTTTTTGGTGTCCGCTATTTTGCTATGTGTATGTCCCATTATGAAATTCTTTGTGGAAAATATTTTACGTAGGGTTTTAACCTCGTTATAATGAATCTGGGATGTAATCAATGCTCAGTTGTTGTTCTTGCTGAACTCCCATTTAACACTTGTTATTTTATGTATTTATTGTGAAGCTTGTTTAGAGTGAATTCAATTTGTTTTTTTGTTTCATTTCTCCATATTTGCAGAACTTGCGATTTCAAATGAGCTCTTTCAAATCTCATTCTTCTATGTTCTTTGTTTTTGAACTAGGGTGATCCATATTTCTTCTTTCCCCCTCCCCCTCTATTGAGGAAGAAATTTGGCAGCTTTTATGTGGAATCAGCATCTCCAGGATTTACATATCCTGATATGTAATCCTGACTGGAAAATGTTGGATTCTTTACTCATTGCTGTCATTAAAAATGGGTGAATTCCATTTAAAACTGAATTGTGGTCAAATGGAAATCACTCGTTTTTTTTTATAAAATATAAAAATTAACTCCTTATTTTTCTTTTTAATATTTTATATATTATCTACAATCCGTGACCAAATGATGAGACGCCCTGTAGTGTTTCAATAATGACACATGATTTGCACTCTTTTATATTTAAACACACATGTAATGGGTTTTTATTCAAGAGATTCTTTATGCACTTCCTATTTGTATTGCATTGCAATGTTAACCCATTGATACATCAGAGTTGCATTCTCCTGTGGGTCAGTTGGGGACTTGTTTCTGTGACTTTATGCGCTATGTTTATTTGTTTCACACTCATCTTTTTTTTTATTTTGCTTGCAGTGTATAAATAGTCAGGCAATCTTTCACCCAGTAAAAATTGGAAGTAAGGGCCCTCGTGAATGCAAAATATCCCAAAGATTGAAGGTTTCTGAAGCTAGCATCCGACGCATAAGGAAGAAAATTGATTCAGGTCACGTATTGAGCCCTAAACGAAAGAAAAGGCTGAATATTATATAGTTTGTTCAGGGACTGTATTTATACAGCTTATAAACAAATTCTGTGCTATCGAGATCACCACTTCCAGTAATGCTATTGTACTAAAAACAAAATTTTCCACACATTTTGATAGTGTGAACTGTCGTTTATAGTAGACTTGTTACCGAATTCGCAGATAGCTCACTATAGTGGGTTTCTACTGGCAACAATTTTAATGTATTTCTTAGAAATCTATTTCCTACCTTTATGAATAAATTTTTGTTTCCAGGTTTGGCTGTGTTAGATGGTTTTATCTATGCCATTGGAGGATGGGACGGCGGGCACAGACTGTCTTCTGTTGAAAAATTCAATCCCTACAATAACACGTGGGACGTGGTGCACGAGATGCCCGTCGCCATGACGAGTCCAGCTGTGGTGGGCCACGAGGGACATCTCTATGTGACCGGTACGTCTTTTTTTTAAAAAAAATTTCTGACAAATATTGATTATAAACATCATTAGAGTTCACAAATACGCATCTAATTCTATGCATTGATTTTGAGTTTCACTCCACTAAAATTTATTGGGAGTCTGTAAAATTTTCATGAAAAAGGGGACTCCTTTAAATGATTCCTTTTTGTGTGGAAAGAGAGAACAGCTTTTGATGCTGCTTCATACATTTCTTTTTTTAAATGTTGAAAAACAATTTCATGAGTCTCATCACTTAACTTAGGAAATGCATCCGTTGAAGTGGAAAACTTCTTATTACTTGTGATATCTGAGAACACTTAAAGTGTTCTCAGCTGTCTGACTGTCAAGTGAGGGACTAAAAATAGGAATCTACTGTATTATTACTATAAAAAACTGCAAAAAGATTTGAAAAATAGTTGAATCGAAAATATTCCTTTTTATCTTCCCAGTTTTTAAACTGTCATCTCGGCAAAGCTGACTTTGAAACTGTAGCCAGTCTGTTATTACAGTCTCCTGGTGGATATATTAAATAATGCTCGTTTTTGCTAAATTTTTACAACTTTTGCAAATTGAAAAAAAAATTATGGTTTATTTACTTATTTAAAATATTTTTCTAAATGATAGTATAATATAAATACATTTTCACTGCTTGCATTATTTTACTGAAAACTGATTTTTTTTTAAAATATTTTCCAGGTTAATAAGTAAATTTATAGATAGCTAGAGAACCTTAGCTATCAATAGCATAATCATTCATTAGAAAACAACTAAAAGTGTAGCTCTTAGATATGAAAAATACTAAAACTGAAATGGGCATTTAATGGATGATAAATTTTGAACTCCAAGAAAGAAATTTCTTCCTCCAAATGGAAAACTCATTCACGTTAAATCTTTCGAGGCGCAAAGTCCTCCATGTTCCCATAACAATCAATGGCTCTGGGGGTACTGATCCAGGAGTTTCCTTGTCTTCTGGATTGGTTCAAAATTAAGAAACTGCGGAGTTGAACATTAGTAGTTGTAAACAAGAAATTGGGTCGGCTGTTCGTCGACGGTTATAAAAAAAGGCCGCATAGCACATAGTTGAACAATCGATAGTCATAAACTCAGAAATGGTTCGGCTGTTCAAAGCTGGTTATAAAATAAAGTGAAATATTGTATAGAATAATAATTGTAAAAATCATTATTTTTTCATGGTCTGCTATGGGATATTAGAAGAAAAAAAATTTTAAATATGCAAATTTATAAAAATAGTTATGGAATATTTTAACATTGTAATGAAATTTACCATAGATTTCAAACTTATATATATTTTTACAGTTTCCTTAATGAATATAAAAGTGGAATGGTCTAAAAAAGAGTAAGAAACTATAGACTAGAGCAACCTCTGAAAAATAATATATTTATATGCAGGGTTTGTTGATTTAAATCATGATTTAAAACAAATGATTTTTTTTAAAAAATCATTGATTTAAATCAACTAATTTTTTTGTATATATATTGATTTTAAAAGTTAACAAACAGTGTTTTAAATTTTATAATGCATTAATTAATTTTAATAACGAAATTACTTTCTTTCTTGGTATGTGTTAAATTCCAACACATTTGAAATTACATTTTTAAAAATCTTTTGATACTTGAAATTAAAAGTACAGATTAAAGTAAGCATAGCTATACTTACATAGCTATAGAAACATAGCTTACACTTACATAGCTTAGAAACATAGCATAAACACTTACATAGCTATAGAAAGTAATTAATAAATATGAATTTTTTTTTAAAAATAATGTTAATTAAGATTCTACCTTTTGAATGAAAAAGTGTGGAATTAAAATCTACATTATATTTTATTGGTGGAAAATGTACATTTCTAAAGCTTGGGGTTATAATGAAATTACCCTAATATGCCAAAAATAAGAAGGGGAGAAAAAGGCTGATACATTCAGATATTTTTTTTCTGATATAGTGTCATTCTTCAGGGTGGCCACCCACCTGGAAAACCTGGAATTATCAGGGAATTTTTTTATACTGGAAAAAACCTGCAAAAATCAGGGAGTTTTAAAGAAAAGCTGGAAATTTTTTTCTTAGATATTTTTTTAATTTCACTAATTTAAATTATTTACTAATTTTCTTAATGTAAATTATTTCATCCATTATACCCACATTTTTTAGACGGAAATGTGTCTCCAAACAGTTAAAATGTTATCAACTTAGTTATACTTTGCTTGCATCAAAATTTGCTCTATTATGACCCTGTTAAACTAGAATGCCACATAAAATTCTCCCATAGTTGCTAAACAAATGTAGAAATCTTTGATCCCTATGGAGACTATGCGACTGCGCAATTTAGGAAACGCAAAGATTGTGGTGGACGTGTATAAGAAGGGGTTAGGATATTTGCTTCTATTTTTAAATTCTGTCCGTGGGCAAACTTAAGCCATTTATGGCTCAAGTTTGTTTAGATGCTTTAATGGTAATTTTTTTCTATTTTGACAAAATGAGTCAAAATGTTTTTGCATTTTTAACTTTATAAAAATATCCAAAAATTAGTTGTGTATAATTAATAATAGATTTTATATTGCACTCTTTCTCTGAAAGCTTTTGTACTCCCATTCAAAGAAATCTGTAAATTATTTTTTTTCACCAAACCAACAAATCAGTTTTTTTACAATTGCTAACATCATTGTTTGTCTACAAATTGTTGCATTAATGCTAATTTTTTCTATTTCATTTTTACTTTTTATGATATATTTTAATTTAAAAAAGAAAGATTTTTTTAGAACTAACTATATATTAATATTTAATTTTACTGCTTGTTGATAAATATTTGATTTTTAATTCAAAATTCGAATTGTATAGTTATCAGTAAAAAGCTGACAAAGACTAAGGAATGTATAGGAATCATAAATATGATGTATAAACATAAAATATAATTTTTTTTATTCATATGTGTTTAGTCGGAAGAAGGAAAATGAAACTTATGTGTTTTAGTTCTGTGCTGTACAAGATTCTTGTTGGTAAAACAAAGACAATTAACCATACTAAACTAAAAAACTGCGTGCTTGGATTGGAATTCTTTAAATTTATTAATATCAAGTAAGGAAAGAAAATCAAAAAAGTTTAAAATTTAAAGAATTTTATCTATTTTTTTTCTTTAGAGTATAGAACAAAAAATTAGACAATTTTACATTTGTGACATTTATTTTTGTATTTTGAATCTCTGGAAATAAAAATGCTAATTCAGAGCAACATTATTTAAAAATTTGTCTTGAGATATTGGTTTAGAGAAAATGTTATCAATCAATTTTTTTAAAATACTGGTAAGATAAAATACAGTATAATGTAGTATACAGTGCAGCTTTATATTGAAATGTAATTACAGTGACTCACAAACAAAAGTGTTGGTACACTTATGACTTTCAATGAAATAAGACTATCCATTAATTAAAATGAATATTTCAGAATGGATATTTAATAATAAAAAATGTATTCTAATCTTAACAAAACTGTATGGAATATTCTAATTTTTCATTAAATTAACATTTAGTAGTTTCCTTTCGCATCTACTATAGCTTTTATAAGTTTGTAAATATAAACTAGTTTTTTTTTATCGGGAGAAATTTGTTCGGAATAATTTTTACGAAATTTTACAGAAATTTTTGCATCACTCTATTGCGAATTTATGAATTTTTCCACAGATTTTATAATTTTAATCTCTAATATGAAGTACTCCTTTTATGCATTTTATCATTGCACAGTGCATACCTCTTATGATGACAAATAATCAAATTTGGTCTATTGTTTTATTAGGATCACGAGCCGTTTTTAAATAATAAAATATTACGAAGTTAATAAGCAAAAATTAAAATATAATTTTGCTATCATAAGTTTGATAATAAATTGCAAAAAAATGAATGAAAAATTAAATGAATAATAATTAAATAAAAAAAATTAAAGCAATTGAAGATAATTTTAATTCTGAAATCCGAAAACATTTAACTGTCCAATGGTTTTCGTCGGGTAAAATGTTTGTTACTATTTGATTATTGATATCTTAAAAATTAACTTTTGCTTTGTTTTTTAAATATTCCATGCAGTTTTGCTAATAATAGATTACACTTTTTATTATCAAATGCCCATTGTTAAGTATTCATTTTAATAAATGAATTTTTATTTCCTATTTCAATAAAAGTTATAAATGAGAGAACACTTTTAGGAGCCACAGTAATTATAAAAATTTATTGATTTATAATCACCTGAAACGGTTTTCCTTTACTTAATGAAAATATATTAAACAATACTTAAACAAGGTTTTATTGGTCATTCTGTTTTTGCCATTTTGTAGGTACACTTTGAGCAGATACTACTTAAAGTAAAACATTAAAAAAAAAAAATTATTCAATAAAAGTAGTATATCCTACGAGCTAAGCATATTATTTTCTCCCCGTGTCTTAATTTTTTAAAAATTAATGTTGTACCAAAACATTAAAAAACAAAATCTTGTCAAAAAAAAATTTTTTTTCAAGATATGTTTAAAAAATGACTTTTTAAATAAAATATTTTATAATAATGACATTTTTCTTGTACATGTCCTACACTTTATGAGCAAAAAAACACGGACCTGGAAATTTTAAAATTTTTACCTGGAAAACCTGGAAATATCAGGAAAATTTGAAATCTGATTTGAGTGGCCACCCTGTTCTTCCTTTTCAAACTCTTTCAAAGTCTATTTGAAGCAGTAGGGTTATTAACTGGTATTTTTTTTCTCATAATATGTTTACAGTATCTTTGACATTATCTGATTTTCTATAAAGAAATTTTGTGAAAAAAATTCCAAATAGTCCTTTTTTTTAGCTTAACTTATCTATTTTGATATAGAATTAAATATTCATTTGTTTTTTGATGAATGACTACATTTATAAGCACAATCTGTTACATTTATTTTGTCATTTTTAAAAATCACGAAAAAAAAGAAATCACAATTTTAAATTAAAATTATGGTTGAAACTTTGAATTAATAGTTAAATGAACTTTGAATTAATACTTACTAATTGAAACTTTGTTTTAATAGTTAAAGTACAGAGGTCTGTCCAAGCCAAATTTACTACTGTTTAGTGGTACCTTCTCAAATTCAACTTTAGGAAAAATGGTAGAATTATTTCACAAAATACTTTTTTCTTAAACTTTTAGTTTTGTGTCTTGTAAGAAACTATAAATTAATATTTTCACCATACTTGTGTTGATTTTTAATTATAATTTTTAATTATCACAAATTCTGTTTTAAATTTTCACAAAATAGATACCTCTCAGAAATATCCCGACAGACCCCTGAAGTATTTAAATTCTCTATTTCATCTAGTCTTTAAATTTCAATCATGCATTTGCTTCAAAATGATTGCTCTGCATTCAAAGCTATGTATTATAATGAAAAATTATTTCAGTAAGTTAGAGCTTCTAAAATATTGTTGTAATATAGTTTTACTATTAATTTAATTTTGATTAAACATTTATAAAGTTTTTTTAATCATAAATTAAAGTTCTTACAGTGTATTTTAAAAAAAAAGAAAAAAAATCTGATTTAAATCAAAAAAATCTGATTTAAATAAAATAAAAATCACGAACTCTATTTATATGCGATAGTTTTAATTTTTTAGTATGTTTCTTGATATAGTAAAATCTTGATTATACCTTAAGTTTTGTGGCATGATAACCAAAATGAACAATAAGAATAGTAATTTGAGAAAAAGTCACTGCTTCTGTGTTTATTATTGGTATTTTGTCAATGCAATAAAGGAATACTAATAAAATTTGAAAATTATATTTACTTTTGCATTTGTTAAGCAGGCAGGATTTTGTTCTGGAATATAACCACAGAATGTATGTTCAAGGATAAAATTAAAAAAAATCTGTTTTCTGTTTATGTTTGATTATTGTACTTATAGGTGGAGCTGTTTTTGAGGATGGTGATGGTATTGATGAAGTTCATCGTTATTGCCCACTCACTGATGCATGGTCAGAAATGGCCCATATGATGATCGCTAGATCAGGAGCCCGTGCTTGTGTTGTCAATAATTTGATCTATGTTATTGGTCAGTACCTACTTTTCAATAAATTGCTTTACTTACAAATATAATTGCTCAGTTGTTCAATTAAAAAACAAAACCATTATATACAGAGTATCTGCACACATGGAAAGTCATGGATTTCACTATTGCACAAAATTTGTCATGATTTTAACTACTTTTTTAAGAAAAATCATGGAAAGTCATGGATTTAGGGTGCCAAAAAATCTAATTTTTAAAATGAAATTCCCCTATCTTCCAATTTCAAAGTGTTCCAAACATCTGAATTTGTAACGAAATCCCCACACATTTTATATTTTATTAAAATATAAAATGTTTTTCTTCTGTTTTTTAAAAATTATGGTGTTCTTATAAAAAATGAAAGAAGGAACATCGTTTCTAGAGCAAATTATCTTTTAAACTTCCATGATATCAAATTTTTTTTATCTATTTATTATTTATTTAATTTTTAATTTTATCAATTTAAAATTCTTATTAGGACTTTTTATATTTCCCTTACTTTTAAGAAGAAATAAAACAAGTTTTAGTAACTACATCTGACTGTATTTAATTATTTGCTTTTGTATTTATTTATTTTTTGCTATTTTATTGCTTTGGCTATTCTATTGCTATTAAGTTTTAATTCTATAAATATGAAGATGCAGAATATAACAATTATGGTTATGTACCTATCATTTCAATTCATGTTGTTATAATGCCTTTTTAAAATTTATTCTTGTGTTTTTGTCGGAAAAAATAGTAACTTCGTTAAGTCATGAAAAATTCTTGGAATTAGTCATGGAAAATAATGGATTTGAAAATCTAAAATGTAGTAGATACCCTGTATATAAATAATTATACACTATTCCATGCTGTGTAAATGACTCCCTTAGCAAGACAGCAAAGTATTATCAATACCAGGATAAATATCAGTAAAGCTCTCCTAAGCATTTATTATTAATCTTAATGACCATCCGTATCTAACAAATTTTAGATAGATGACGATCTCACATAATGAGCTAAAACCACCGTAATTTTACTATTTACAGAAATGATAGTGCTCCGTAAAAAAAAAACGGATTTCCAGATTTTTCGATAACCATGATCCGGAAATCCAAGGTCTAGAAGTTATGAGAAATCATCAATCACATTTATGTTTAAAAATTCTTGTATATTTTATTTAAAAAAATATTAGAACTAAAATTTATACTTGGAATCTCTTTCATTTGTAAATATTTTTTCTGGTAGAATAATAAATGTGATTAGAGAGCATAATTTATTTAATTTCATGTTTTGAAAATATCAATGATTTAAATTTATAAAGATATTAATTCTTTGTTGAAATGCTTCATTCATTATTTTACTCAAGAAATTTTCAGGATTTTTGAGTTGGACTCAAAATTACCCCTCTATATATTCATGCACACTTTTGCTGCAACATGGTAGATTTTGGAGAGCTCTGACTGTTAGAGTCGCAACAAAAAATTTATGAAACAAGAGGTGTGCACCTTCTTTTTGAACATTCTTAGGGCACTGAATTACTGCCCCCCCCCTAAAAAAATCATTAATGAACCCTCCTTAAATCATTGACTCCAACATTCAAAATAACATACAAAGCTCACATCCAAAATATATCATGTGAACTTTTTATTTACCAAAAAACGAAAGTAAATACTTTGATTGTGTAGTTGGACATAATTTATATTTTGTTTTCACATATTATAGTTACAACTGCAAAGTTTCTTCTGCATTAAGGGAATGGCCTTGAATCTCCATTCTAAGCAAAGAAAGAAAAACTAAATATGCTTATTATTTTCTTTTTCCAAAATAAAAAAGGTAACATTTAACACGCGCAGCAGAGTATCTCTCATAACATGCCAGGTCGTATCCTAATCAAATCAAAAAAATTTTAGAATTATAAGAATATCATTTTAGAATTTCTCTGGAATTTAAATTGATACCAATGCAATTCTGTAATCTGTATTTTTATTTCACAAACGTGCTTTGTATTTATCTGCAAAAGCGGCTGAAGAAAAACTTTTCCTTTTATTAACCTTGCTGATTATTTCGTTGGCGCATATAATTCCGATACGTAAACAATTGCAGCCGATAGTCCTGTCTCTGACAATCTTAGCATTTTAGGGCTGGGATAGCCTGGTGGGTAAGGCACTGGGCTCGCGTCCAAGAGTATGTGGATTCGATCCCCGCCGGTCGAAGACTCCCCGTGTCGTAAAGCGTGACTGATGCACGTAATATCTGCCGAGTCACAAAGTCCTCCATGCTTCTATAACAAATCAATACCTCTGGGGGTACTGATCCAGGAGTTTCCTTGTCTTCTGGATAGATTCAAAAGTAGTCTTGAACTCAAGTAGTCTCAAGTAGTCTCACGAGTAGTCTTGAACCCAAAGTTCGGTGAGCCTTTCGATGACGGTTATAAAGTTACAAAATAAAATGTTGAAATAAGTAAGAAATAAAATGACTATTAAAATTATTAATTAATAAAGGAAGGCGAATTAAATATTAACTTGCAAAAAGAAATAAAAGCTAACAACTAAAATAAGCTGCGCAATTAGCACTTATAAAAACAAATTAGCAAAGGATAACTAGCAAAAATAAACAAGCTAACAATTAATAATTAGCAAAAAACAAGTTAACAAGTAATCACACAAAAAAAGTATTATAACAATTAATAACTATAAAAACAAGCTATTTATTAATTAAATAGTAAAAAAAACTGTTAATTTGTAATGAAGCCCTTAATAAACGTACTGTTGTTTTTGCAGTACACATTATTTTATTTCACATTCAAAATTCATAAACTATTCTAGACAGTGTATTATAGGTAAGTCAACAACTTTTACATGTATTTTTTTTTTCTCTGTGTGCCGTCAAATTTCGAGATCGTTAAAAGTGTGCCGCGACAAAAAAAAAGGTTGAGAATCAGTGTTCTATTAAAAGGCCTCTTAAATAAAGTGATGGTGGCATTCATCAGGGGTCTGTCTTGGGTAAATTTACTACCGTTTATCGGCAGCTTCACAAATTCAACTTCAGGAAGAAAGGTAGTTTCACAAATAAAAAGGTAGATTCTCATGCAAACCCCGATCTCGTTGCAATCTATGAAAAAGAGGAGTATTTCTGCCAGCTGTCTTTTACAAAAAGGTAGCACGTGTTTGATCTGGATAGAGCAACACGGTAAGCCTAACCGATCCTATCAAAGCGAGCTTTTTTTCGCCGAGTTCTTTAAAATGAAACGACGAAGCTCTCCCTCCTTTTTCTGAAACTTTTATCTGAATGACCCAGTTGAAAATGTTCTAATAATAAAAATAACTTTTAGTGCTGTTAAATGTATGATTTTATTAAATTCAAGTGGAAATTTAACAATGGAGAATGATTTTTATGGATTTTGAAATATGGATACAATTTTTAGCCCAAAATTTTACAATAGCAAAATTATTTTTTGAATATATGGCAAAAAATATATAGAACTTTACCAGTCATAAATTATTTTTATGTGACCATTTTTCAAAATATCTTCTAACTTTACCCTATTTTGGTTTGATTTTTTAATGTAATTTTAAATGTTCACAAAATAGGTACCTCTTAAAAAACAGGTAGTTCATATAATGTATTTCAGGTGGTTGGCATGCATCGACAGAGAACACGAATAAAGTGGAGTGTTATGATCCTGTAAAGAATGAGTGGAGATTCTGCAAGCCCATGCTGGAGAGGAGATATCAACCTGGGGTGGCTGTGGTCGACGGAAAGATCTACGTGTGCGGAGGGGAGGAAGGATGGGACAGGTAATCTCTTTCAAATAATACATCAGTCCTGGGGACTCTATCAATTAAATTTTCCTTCTCATTAGAAATGTATCCGCGTTTTGTTTTTAAAAATAATAAAAGAAAGAGTACATTTTAATGGAAACATTGTTACAATTATTGATGATCTAGTAATAATAATGTAATGTAAATGATCTAGTAATGATGTCACACTACAATGAAAGAATGGTGTCAGGACTTGTATTAATCTGTCAGCCACCCTTATTCTTAAAGTCCTGATAAATGGGATGGATTGAACATCTGCTTGTGTCAACAAAAAGTGTAGAATATTTCTGAATCTGTTTCTCACCCCAAACCTATTGACTTGTTGGATTATTAAAAAGGAAAGAAATGATAGTGCTAGAACAAAATATAAGTAATGAGGTGAAAAATAGAGACACGAATAATTTCAGCAAAAAGTGAGTCGTTCAGTAATGGGTGTAAAAAGATATACAAGGTTAGCTGTTATTTTTTGTTTTCTAAAAGGAAACATGAAATAAAGGAGAAAAAAAATAACCAAATGATTGATTTAATAGTAGGCTATTATGAAGGAAAGATAAATTTTGGTGACAGTGAGAGATTTCAAAAGTTCGGTAACACTAGACAGAATTATTTGGTTAAAAAATAAGTTCAGTCTTAAAGAATTCTCTTTTTTTGGAGTGGCACCCATGGAAATAGCAGAGAATAAATAAATATATCCGCATGGTACATAGTGTTTTTAAAAAGTGCTTAATTTCGATTATTTTTTAAAGGTGCTTATTATTAAAGGCCTTTAAAGGTGCTTTTTTCATTGGATGTTTTTAAAAAGTGCTTCATTTTTCCTTTTCAAAAATGACATTTTCTTTAACCATGTCGATTTTGGTCACGCATTGTGCAAAAACTTGCTTTTCACATTGTTCTATTCAGCATTTTCATAATTCATTTCGGCGTACCGCCGGTCCATAGCGTATGAGGACACTAATCATGTTACATATTCGATGAAATACTTGTCAGTCCGTATGTGCATCTACTGAACTGGGTTCAGTAAGATTATTGCCTTCTCGTGTGCAACTCTGCTGCATTTAGCAAGATATTCTCAATTTCAGGCTTCATTTTCACCCTCTGATATTGAACCGAAAAATCTCGGGATCATTTTATGGTGGCTAATATAATCAACAAAAGAGTTCTTTGTCAGAAACTAGTTATTTTATTAAATCATGTAAAGTTTTTGCGTTTTGTTAATGATTCACATTTGTTAATGCATATAGTGCTTAAAAATATTTTTGAGTGCTTGAAAAGTACTTAAAAGATGCTTATTTTTGTTGAAAGATTTGGCTATGCATCCTGATCTAGTAATACCAGTGGATGACCTTCTGTTTTCTTACCTATGTTAGGAATAACTTTTATGCACATCCTTCCCTCCTGAAGTATCCACAATCAGTTGGTCTTGTGAGATAAAATGAATGTTTGTTCCAATTTGATTCCATAACATCAGTATTTAAAATAAATCACTCACAACAGAATTTTATCTTTTTTGAACTATCAAGTAACTGCATTATTACTGCCTCCCAAATTGACGTCACTGTACATACCTGCCACCTTTTGCTCGTTCTGAGAATCATTTTCACTGCAATAGTAAAATGACAATCAAATTGAAATTATTGGTAAAAAGAAACGTTTTTAGAGCTATAAAAATTTGGCAACCACTCATGAAAACTTTTCAATCAATTTTATATACTTGATTATTTATTCAATGACTTGGGGATTGTATTCCACAAAAATTTATGGTAGAAAATCAACCTAATAAAATTATAATTTTCATACATTATAAATATATATATATATATATATGTGTGTGAGACCTGTGTGTGCCAATCTTGGTGAGTATTGCCATTTGGCGAGGAGAGTTCTATCCGAGAATTGGAAGTGAAAACACTGCCTTGAACATTTTCTCTCTCGGAATTAATTTTTATTTTATTTTTTTTCTTATTTTTTTGTCTGATTGTTATATTTGTTTGTGTTGTGGAAATATGAAAAAGATATAGTAAATAATACTTATTTCCAACCTGGATAACTTATTTCAACACATTACAATAGCATAATAAATAAATACAAAACGAAACCAACGAAGAAAATTTAGAAAAACAATAAGTTTTATTTACTGCGCTTAAGCTGCAAGTAAATAGAACTCATAAAATAAGTTCGAAATGTAGAGAAAACATGGAAAAAATTACAGAACAGTGAAAAGAAAAATAATAATAAAAATACTGGGGGAAAATGTCTGAGGAAAAAGAAGAAAAAAAATTTAAAAATCCAGAAAATAAAAGATGTAATCTTTTCATCAGCTCACACGATTATATCCTCAAAAAGGAGTGCTTTCTAATATTGTTTCAATATAGCCAAAGCAAAATATATCAATACAATACTGTGAGGAGCATTCAAAAAAATTTACAAGAAATTTTTTTGTAAATTTTTTTGAGCTCTGTAATTGTCTGTAATTTTTTCAATGTTTTCTCTACATTTTGAAATTTTACATATATATATGTATATATATATAGTAAGCTTATTAATTTTCTTCATTTTTCTCTTTTTTCTTTTTATTCTTTTTGTATTTATTTATTGTGCTATATATATATATGTAAATGCCTTGGTTACCATTAATAAAGTCAATCAAGACATTTAATGATTATGCTTATTCTTTAATGATAACATGAGTCACACAGACTCTTAAACAATTAAGATCGAACCACACGGGTTCCCAGTTTCACACAGAAACATTTATTTGCACAGGATCGAACCACACAGGTTCCAAGTTTCACACAGAAACAAACTTCAATTAACTAATAATATAGTCATCTAGACTCTTAACCACTAAGGTTACCCGTTTCACTTAGAAACTACTTCAGCAGACAATTCCAACTGACTCCTCATTTACATCGAGAAAGTTCTATGCATTTCCTTCAGACGAGCGACATCTGGCGGGATAACATAGAGGCTGTTGTCTCGCTTATTACATATATATACTTTCACTTAGAATGAATCTAAATTAGTCCAGAAAGTTAGAGAGATTTATTAAGAGCCTTGAAATGTACAGGAAGCAAAGTAATTATTGTTTCGGCTTAAAACATGTGATCTTTTTATAGGACTAAATAATGGAACATTAAATGACAAATTAGAACATTCTAGAAACTTCCAGAAGATACAGAAATAATATATGAAAGCTTATATTATGTTTATAGAATTTTAAATTTTCTACGAGCCCTTAGGATCGAACTCTAACCTTTGATACGGAACAATTATATCATCTACTCAATATCTATTTCCTATACAACCTTCCACTGATTTCAATTAATTAATTAGGTTATAATTGAACATGGTTTTAAGTTAGAAATAATTAGCTTAAAATAATTTTTTATTTGGACTGTTAAACCACCGATTTCAGCGAAAAATAAATGATGATTCGCTGCACAATCATTTCTTCAACTATTTCAGCGATAAATAAACAGTCAACCAAACTCAAACAATGAACTCGTTTTCAGTCACTTCACTTGATCATCTGCTATTATACTTTTCGTTGTCCAGCTAATTAAATATATTTTAAATTTAAAAGCTGCTGTTTTTAGTAGCGAAACGTCTCCAAAAGGACAAACTATTCACTCAAAAGAGAGAAATAGCATCAAATTTATGACATATTAAATGTAAGAAAAATGGACATAAAGATTGCGAAATAAATATTTTTGTCATACGATCGCCAAATAGCAACCTTGTTCAGGATTGTTCACATCCTTCTCCCAAAAATAGCGAAATAGTATCGTCGGATACCACGTGATGAAGGTGGAGCCAAGTGCCAACTCCTGGTGAACGAACTATACCAAGGCNACAAATTCAACTTTAGGAAAAATGATAGAATAATCACACAAAATACTTTTTCTTAAAATTTTATTTTTGTGTCTCGTAAGAAACAATAAATCCATATTTTTACTATATTTGTGTTGATTTTTTAATATAATTTTTAATTTTCACAAAATAGGTACCTCTCAGAAAAACCCAAACAGACCCCTGAAGTATTCTTTAAATTCTCTATTTCATCTAGTCTTTAAATTTTAATCATGCATTTGTTTCAAAATGGTTGCTATGCATTCAAAGCCATGTATTATAATGAAAAATTATTTTAGTTAGAGCTTCTAAAATATTGTTACAATATAGTTTTAATATTAAGTTAATTTGATTAAACATTTATAATTTTTTTAACCATAAATTAAAGTTCTTACAGTGTATTTGAATAAAAATCAAAAAAATCTGATTTAAATAAAAAAAAATCTGATTCTTTTGATATTTTTTTTTAAAAAATCAAAAAAATCACGAACCCTGACTATAAGATTCTATGTAAAATCTTAGTTATCAGTTTACGTTCGTGTATCAATTGATTAAATTAGACGATATATAATTTAAATTCGACGATTGGATATATTATATAAATATAGAATATTTATTATGTCAAGTATTATATTAGTTTACTATAATAATTAGACCAAATTATTAGACACACTGTAGTTTTTTAACAATTACATGTTTTGCACGAGTATTATGTGCAATACTTTTATATTTAAACATGCTTGTAAAGGGTTTTTATTCAGGAGATTTTTTATACACTTCCTATTTGTATTTTTAATGTATTCAGTGTTAACCCATTGATACTTGAACGTAAACAAGTGTAAACCGGTTTCAGCAGCATAAAAACAATAATGCTGTATAGCAGTGTTTCCCAAAGTGTGGTACGCTTACCCCCTGGGGTGCGGGAACAGTTTAGCGGGGGTACGCATTCTTATGCGAAATATCTTGCAACAAACCAAAATTTCGAACAATTTTGTTTAAAAACAAAGCTAGAAATGAAAATCTACGATTAAGTATTTTTCAATTGACTATTTTTTGCAGAGTTGACAGTTAGTAATGAGTGGTGTTAACAGCCAGTTGTGATTTTTAACTTTTGTGCAATTTTTTTATAGTAAAAAATACATTCATTTTTTTTAATTAGTGGTACACAGCGTTACCAGAAAGAAGGGTACGCAGAGAAGTTTAGAAAGGGTACACAAAAGTCGTAAGTTTGGGAAACACTGCTGTATAGTATCACCTGATAATTGAGATTTTGCACAGAATCCTATAGTGCGTCTAATTATTTAGCCGGGGACTGTATGTTTATATCTATATTAATCACTCTGATGATATGTAATATTGTTTTTTAATATTAAGTAATGATTTCAGATATCATGACACGGTTGAGTATTTTGATCCGTCTACGGATCAGTGGTTGATAGCAGGTGTCATGCAGACGGCTAGAAGTTGGTTATGCTGCGCAACGTTAAGGGTAACTCTTTTTATCTACCTATCAGAATATATTGTTTGAATGAATATTAAATGATTTGTCCAAAAAAAAAAATTTGGTTCATACAGCCTTTTAGTATTACTGTGTTTTCATTATAATACATATACAGCTCTTTAGTTTACTGTGTTTTCATTATAATATCCCATGTACCATTTTATAGACTCAATGTTATTTACCCATTGTAATACTGAATTAGCATTCTAAAATAGTAAAAGAAATTCTGTTTGATTTAATTCCAGGCCAGGGTTGCCACTCCACAGAGAAAGCTTGGGAATTTTTAAAAATCACCTAAAATAACAGGGAATTTTAATTCTTACTTTACGAACTGGAAAAATTCAGGGAATTCTTGTTTTCCTCTTTTGAAAAATGGCGACCCCTCAAAGTGTAATCTATGAGATGTTTAATGATGATATTTCATTTACGAATGTTCAACCGCTTTCCTGATTATCCACAGTTAACTCAGATATATTAGAAATATTTATCATACCGCAGAATGTGTCAGTACGTTTTGTTTTATCACGTTTTTACTGGACAGGAAGCAACAAAAAAAATTATAATAATCTGCTGTGATTGGAAGTTTGTCAGCATTTGTTTGTGGGACTGCACACGTGTTTTGGGCGATTGCATATGCGATGATTGATGAATTAACATAAAAAAAAAGGGTGAAATAATAGTGTACCACTTCACTGATGTTTGGAAAGTATCATTTTGTGTTGTTTTAAAAACTATCATACAAAGACTAATATTTAATTTTTTTCCTTTTCCGCTCGATAGTAAACAAATGGTTAATTAAATGTTTTTTACGCATAAAAAAATTCAAATCTCGACTTAAAACGTGTGTATTATGTTTTATTTTAGTTCGTTGTATTTATTAATGAAATAAAATATGTTGATTTTTTGCATTTTTTTTTTTTCAAAACAATTGGTAAAGGATGAGGTTAAGTATGTTCAGCTGTTCCTTTTTTTCTCTCTAAGTTTTTCCAGCCATTAAAACTAATAAATATAGTTAGCCCAATATAGCTCACAGTAAAGAGCGCTGTAATTGTGTTTCCTCTTAATGTGTTGTGTATAATATGTAGATGGAAAACACAGGGAATTTTTTTTCCAGATTTGAGTGGCAACCCTGTTCCAAACCAAAAACAGATGTTAGACGTACTTTCAAAACAAATATTTTCCATTAATCAATAGTCTCCAGAAAATTATTCAAATTTGCTCAATAGCGTTTAAAATTTTCTGTGAATGACAGGACCACCTATTCTTATCAGGGCTCATAGCGTTTTTTAAAAGTGCTTAAAGGTGCATATTTTCTATTTTCATTTTTTAAAAGCCCTTATAGGTGCTTTTTTCATGGGGTGTTTTTAAAAATTGCTTCATTTTGCCTTTTCTCAAAACTAAAAAAACTAAACTCAGTGGTGCAACATAGAGAGCCAAGGCCTACTGTGCCCATATCAGTTTTCTTGACCTTAGGCTCTGGAGTGCAGAAGCAGATGTTCCGGTTAGGTGGTCAGCCAAACATGGAACACCCAGTATTTAGTTCCCAAGCATGCTTGGTATTCATTTATTGACCCACTGAAGGGATGAAAGGCTGGGTCAACCTTGCACGGGCCGAGGATCGACCCAGTAACTCTGGCCCGGGAGCACAAAGCGCTACCACTCAGCAACGGGGCATCAATTTTGCCTTTTCTAATGTGAGATATTTTTTCTTTACCATTTTGATTTTTGCTGTGTATCATGCAAAAGCGTGGTTTTTACATTGTTCTTTTCTCCGTTTTCACAATTCATTCAACCACAATCCATTTCGGTGTAACATCGGTCTGTAACGTCTGATAGTACTAATCGTGTTACACATTCAATGAAATACTTGGGAGTTCGCATGTGCATCAACTGAGCTGGATTGGGTGAGATTTTTGTACTCTCGTGTGCAACTCTGTTGCATTTTGCACTGTATTATCCATTTCAGGCTTCATTTTTCACCCTATGATATCGAAGCGAAAAATCTCTCGATTATTTTATAACGGCTAATATAATCAAGAAAAAGAGTTCTATGTCAGAAACTAGTTTTTTTATCAGGATCATGTAATCTGTTTGAAAATTATTTTGCATTTTGTTAACATATATAGTTCTTAAAAATATTTTTTGAGTGCTTAAAAAGTACTTTAAAGGTGCTTATTTTTTGTTGAGATATTTGTCTATGCCGGTGGTAGCTTAGCTACTGGTAGGGTCACCCAAGCCGGACAGGTCGGAGGGGAGACACCAGACCAAGAGGAACACCCTGGTCCTCCAGGTTGGGGGTTGGGCATNTTCATTTTATTGATATGATGATGATTTGTCTACACACCCTTTCTTATCCTAGGTGTCCTAGGTCGACTTATCATTATTGTGTAAGTCTTTCCTCCTGAGGTGGAAATTATAATTTCCTTTTGTCTTCGTATCCTTCAAGAAGTTTATATTCAGTGCTGCTAGTATGCCCCTGTTTGTCTAAATGGCCTCTATTTTTAATTTGGTCTTAACATTACTATTACAGTTATTTCCTACTTATTACAGTATGTCTTGTTGAAGAGAAGAAGCAATCATAGGAAAGGAAATTTTTCTTCTTTTGTCTCATTTTGTATAAATTCTAATATCAAAAACTCTAATCCTTAAAAAACCGAATCATGTTTCCTCAATCATTGTTTGATCACTTATGTTTTTTTGACTGATTAAAGTCTCTGATTTTTAATCCTTAATTTATTTAACTCTATAAACTTTTCAAAGATGTAAAGCTGTTCTTCAAATTGTAAATTTTTTGATAAACCACAAAGAAAGTAAGCGAAGACAGTGGTAACCTTTACTTTAAAAAAATGAGAAAAAAAAGTGAAGGTTAAGCTTATTTTATAGATATAAACTACGAAATTCATTTAATCTGAAAACAACAGGAAAGTTATGATTAGGCTTACAATTTGAATCCAATAGAATCACGAAACAGTTGAGTTCTCCTTACATTAAATACCTAACTAAAAAGAAATAATAACCGCCATTTTATATTTTGATTATTATACCATCTGTAATAAATCACAACATTAATATAATGAAATTTTAAACTTTTGGTTTCATTTCAGCTTCCTGTGGACAATAGGATAAAGGAGTCTTGACATTTGGAGTACAGCTACAGCTCATACCACAAGCAGTGCTCTTTTGGCAATGCTCTCTAATTAAAATGCTATACATTCATATTTGTTTAGAAAATTTTAAGGTTTTCTTATATCAATATAAAGATACTCTAAAACAAACATTTTTCCAAATGCCTACAATTTCAAAAATAGGAAATTGCATAACTGCCAATTATAGTGGAAAATTTAGTAGACTTCTGTATTTTGACAGTTTCTCCAGACTAAATTAAGAATTATCTTTGTTTTCTATTTTTACTTCAGAAAATTTTCTAAAATTGCGGTAATTCCTCAATAAATCGCTTTTTTTCAATTCTGCTTGAACATTTAAACAAGTAAAGTAAAACCTCCAGGAAAGACCACCTCTACTTTTGGGAGAATTTGTTCCATAGATTTTGTGTTGAAGAAAACATTTAAGAGTGACCATCAGAACCTCTGACAGCCACCACCTCTACATCGAATGCCGTCTAGTGAGGTAACACAGATAAATATTGCAGCAAAAAAATAATTTTGAGTGGCTCTTATTTAGAGGGCTCTTTTTGATAATCTCTAAAAGAGATCAAAAAAATCTCATGTTGCAGTCAGAGTGCACTAAAGATGACACTCTCAATGATTTGTTTTTCAGAGTTGAAAGTTAAATTAGGTAGAAAAAACTGAGCCTCTCAAACAAATGAATAAACATCTTCTTATCTTCTCATTTTTAAAACAAACTAATTTTTATGTTATACAATTAAATTCAAACTTAAAAAAAACATAGTTGTTTATTTATTTAAAATAGTTCTACCAATCATAATTGGTAAATTTGTTTTTACACATAATTATATCAGTAGGGGTCGTTTTTATAGATGCTAAATTTTATTCATCGATCCGGTTTTCATGTCACCAAACACGAGTGGCGTTTCCGCAGCAAGAAAATTAAACTGATTGAAATTCAAATTGTTTACGAAAAAATCACATACCTTTGATAGCATTTTGAAGATAATAAAGGTAAACCGTAAGAACGACCCACTTCCATTAATGATCAACCATTTCACTGTGGAACAGAGTGTGATCGTTCCAAAGAGGTTTTACTGTAATATTCCTAAAATAGGAAACCCTGCTCTTACTAATTTCCATAAAAGTTCTAAAAATATGCTTCACAGAGCTAAATTTCAACCTACAACAGTTTTAAAGCCTTTATTTTAACCCTAACTTATAAAATATATAAAAACGAAAAAGATTAGAAAATGAAGAAAAAAAAGTAGTATAATAACAAAGTTGGTAGAAACAGAGGTAGTATTCAATAATAGTTAAATCATTGGTCTAAAATTAAATATTATTAAAACAAAAATATAACATTGTTTGTTTGTATATGCAAACTGTTTAAGTTTAATTATTTATTTCTACTTAATTTATAGCTCAGTTTGTTTCTGATTTTTGCTGCCAATGCGAGAAAAGGAAATTCATTGGTTTTGTAACTCATACATATAAGCATTTTATATGATTTAGATAATTAACTGGGAATCATATAGTAAGCTTTTGTTATACTCATTTGAGATATTCAATTTTGTTATTAACTTAGATTGAGAATTTTTAAGTTAATTAAAAATTATTTTAATTTTTTTTTTATCCTGAAATTTACTGACATGTTATTTAAAAACATGTTACAACTGTCTAAAATGAATATCATATCTTTGTTCTGGAAATTGTGGATATTAGAAAAGGTAATAAACATAATATATTTTATATTATATCACATTTAATATGTATATACAAACAGAATAGTTTGTAAGTGAATNTTTTTAAAAATTGCGGGAAAATTTATCGAATTTCGTTCCGGTTTTTTGTTTTTCCGGTTTTCTGATTTCTGGATAACGGGTTCTGTACTGTATATACAAACAGAATAGTTTGTAAGTGAATTGAAATTTGTAATTATTAGTGCAATAGTTCTTATGTATTTTATTTCTCTTTATTTATTTTTAAAAAATAACATAATATCTCTTGTTTATGAAATATTTTATTGATTGTGTAATAGTTTGCCTGAAGCAATTATTGGTTTGTAAAATCTGTGAAATTCCTTATTTTATTTATATTTGTGTCTTTCGTGAGCTTATGCATTCTAATGGCAATTCTAAGTCCAAAACCAATGACATATTATTACTGTATAGCTGCCAACTCTACTGCATTTTCCAGTAGACTACTGGATTTTGCCATTTTCTCCTGTTCTACTGGTTTAATAAAAATTCTCCTAGTTTTTGTACATTTTAGATTATTCCCTAAAATTGATTAAGTTTGCTAGAAAAATCCCTATTGAAATGGAATTTTTGCACAGATTATTGCTTGCTCGAATATTTAATTAAGTATAGCTGATATATAATGAAGCTAGCCTCATTTATCGAAATCAATTTTAAAAAAAGTTTTTGTTTTAAAATGTTCAGTTTATTTTTAATTCAGAACTCCCCTTTTAAATTAATTAAAAAATCATAATTATTTTTTGTCTATTACTATTCAAAACTACGAGTAAACATAAAGCACAACATTTCAAGCATATTTAATGCCAATCATGACAGGAAAATATTTCAGTCTTTTAATGACTATAAAAATCCCTAAAATTTCTTCTATGTTTAAAATATTTAGTGCATGATGCAACAATTATCATGAAATTTACATTATTTTGTAAAATCTACTGGATTCTTTCCTACGTTACTGATATAAAGTGTTTAGCAATAAACACACATTTAAAGAAATATTTACATTATGTACATGTCAGAGCAACATTCATGAAACTATTCAAAGAGGGACTAATTTTTCACAAATGCTTATTTTTCAGTTCATCATAATTCAGTATATTATTGGTATTTTCAGCATAACTTCGCAAAAACTCCATAAAATCAGAGTCTTTCATTTTATTGACTGAAAAAGTCTTTCAGCATTTATTCTTCATAGTGGTCTGTATTTTTGTATTATTTATTTATTTCTCGCTGTGTTTGTTCTTGTAGTTGTTGTGATTTCTCCTTTTTCTAAAACTTACTTACTTCTATATGTTTGACAATAAAGTTTGTCAAAAGTTATTTTTCGTAAAAGCCTTTCCTGACTATTAATATTATGACTCTTAATTGTGATTATGACTCTTAACACTAAACATACCAACGCTTAATCTATACCTATTTCTACCATAGCCGGTCAAATGACCGAAACATTTCGTTTTTGTCACTTTTTCTGACACAGAAATGCTTATTCTGATTGAACTCACTACGCAACAGTTTTTTGCAGACATGTACAACTCATCGAATGCAATACATTGAACACGCATGACATCGTCATTTCTGATCCGATAATCTTATAAGGCAATAAATTATTCTCTCGGTCAAATGACCGGTAGGAATAGGTATACGACAAATATTACTCGAAGCAAACAAAATACAAAAAATAATAATAGAATATTAACTGTATGTAATTGTTAGAAAAAGTCATGTAGTCAAACGTACAAAACCGATGAGATGATAATCGCATTTTCGACACAAAAGTTCTTAAACGGTCATTTGACAGATTATGGTATGTTTAGTGTTAATAATCTTCTCTAATTAATTCATTTGTTTGTAGTATATTTTATCTGGAACTAAAATGCATTTCATTTTTGTTTGATTAAAATTATGTTAAAATTTCACTTCCCATTTAAAAAATCTTATTTTATGTTCTTGTATATTACGACAAAATACTTCACTTGCATTGTAAATTGAAATAATTGGATTAGACATGTATTTTGCAAGTTTAAAATATTTGTTATGTGTGTTTGTGTGTTTCTAAAATTATTATTTGATAAGTTTATTTATTTACATAGAAATTGAGTATTTATTTATTTTTGTGTTGTTATTTTACCTACTGACTTTAAGATCATTGTGGAAAGAAAAAAAAATTTCATTTAAATAGTTTTGAAAATGAAAATAAAAACATATTATTCTACCCTTTTTTTTTTCTTTTCAACTTGTTATAATTTATATTATGGTCCAGTCTTTAAGATAATACAGAAGCAGCATAATATGTAAAAGTAAAAGCAGCTTTTGTTGTTGAAAAGGCAAAATATTTTGAAATGGAATGCTCTAAAGTATTAATGAAGAAGTCATTAGACATGCTGCAATAATATATAATTACCTTGTGCAGATGACGATTTCTCTCATTTCTTCAAAACTCTACCACTTGAGATCATTCTTTTCTTCTTTCTTTCAGATTTGTTTTCAGAATTATCTTATGAGATCTTACAATTCATTCCAGTAGTGTATGCAGTATATATATATTAATTTTTCCATGTTGTCTCTACATTTTGAACTTATTTTATGAGTTCTATATACTTGCAGATTATGCCCAGTAAATAAAACTTATTGATTTTGTTAATTTTCTTCTTTTTCTTCTAGTTTTTATTTATTGTGATATATATAATTAATTTCTGTCTTTTTAATAATTATCTTTACGATGAAGAAGATATTTTTATTCAAATCGATGGAATACTACAAGGATCTAATTTTTCCATCTCTCTAAGCTAGCTTATTGCACTATTATGAAAAAAGTTATACTCTTAATATTAAATTTGTTTTTAGATTTACTGATGATTTAATTACCTTTAATTTTCAGGATTATACTATTTTATTAAAAAATACTTACCCCGAGGAATTAATGTTGTTTCGTAATCATCATAAGAATATTAATTACAATTTTTTGGATTTTATAAAAGAAGAAAATATCTACTTTGTTGATTTATACGATAAAAGAAATGATTTTAGTATAAATAAACCAATTACTTGGAATTCTAATGTTTCTAGGAACATCTATTTAAATACCATTTTTAATCAAATGAATAGAATTAAAAGAGTATGTAGTAATATTTATTTAACCAAAAAACAAATGGACAAACTCTTTCAAAATTTCATAGAAAACAATGGATACCCAACTAAAGTAATTAAATTCTATATAAAATCATTGAATTAATTGTTTATTATTGTAAATTAATTTACTAAAAAACTTCTTTGTTAATTTATATAATTTTTCCATGTGCAAAACATGCAATTTATAATTCTTTCTCTTTTATATTTTCTTTCTTAAATAAATGTTAATTTACTAAAATTATTAATTTTCAACTTCTTTAAATTATCCAGTATAACATTACCTTGCTCACATCCATTTTCGGGCCCATCCCTGGTAACTAACAAATCAAACGCACTTCAGTACTGCAGTAAGAACACACTATAAAACAAAACCCCTCTATTTATGCTTTTACCTCAATTTGCGCTTCTGTTTTCATTTTTTGCAATCTTGTTACGAAAATATTTTAAATCATTTTTGAAAAATTTTCTGTCCATGTAAGTTCATTTGTATGCGCTACTCGCTTTATAAATTTCATTTTATGTTTTATTCTGTTTTTTTCCTTACATTTTATTTTCTGTTTTTACTTGATATTTTTACTAATGTGTTTTATTTTATTGTTGTAAATTTTTTGCAAAAATTTTTTAATTAATTTTTTAATAAAAAATTTTCTTAAGTACTCCTTGCACTATTGTATTGATATATTTTGCTTTGGCTATATTAATGCAATGTAAGAAAGCACTCCTTTTTGCGTATATAATCGTGTGAGCTGATGAAAAGATTATATCTAATATTTTACGGATTTTTATAAAAAAATTTCCGGATTTTTTTTTTCCCCATTTTTCATTGTTCTGTAATTTTTTACATGTTTTCTCTGCATTTTGAACTTATTTTATGAGTTCTATATTTAATTGCAGATTATGTGCAGTAAATAAAACTTATTTGTTTTTCTTAATTTTCTTGGGTTTTTTTTTTCTTTTTGTCCTTTTTGTATCAATTTATTATGATATATATATGTGTATAGTTAAAACTCTAAGATTAATGAAAAGAGAATTAGAAAGCTGGAAAGAAAAAAAAATGAAACAAAAAAAATTTTTATGTAATTCAACAAATTTTTCTAAAGTTTATGAATCAACTAAGCAACTATAAAAAAAAAATATTGTAATGCCCCATAGACAAAGCTAACAATAATTATGCAATCTTTTGTAAGAAATTCTACATAAGGAGTTAAAAAATAGTAAAAATTTTAAGCTTAGTAATTTAGATAATAATATTATCATTAAAAAAATTTTAGCTTTATATAAGAAATGAAAAATTAAAATTATCAATATACAATTTCCTTACTTAATTATCAGTCCTAAATTTCTCAAAATTCCTTTAAAATTTAGAACAATCACGTGTGAGTCTAATACTTACCTAACTAAGCCAGGCACTATTTTCTCTAACTACTTAAATTATTAACATTATTATGCAGTGTTTTCACTACAGCGCGAGAATCTCGCATATTTTTTTCTTTTCTCGCATTAAAAAATGATTACCGCGAGAAATTTGCGTATTCTATAAATCA